TGAGAGTTGAAACCAAATGGAAGGAAGTCCAGGGTCCTTTAAGGCTACAATGAGTTTTAGAACTTGAAAGGTACAAAGCAGGTCAAAAACAATATAAATAATGTCACTCAACTAATTCTGTTAGGAGAGGTCAGAAACCTCACTGAGAATCTAGTTATAAAGTACCTAGTTTATGAAGAATCAGTCCAAGGCTGGGCTTATAAGAGTACATCATGAATAAATGCTAACACATTTGCCAGTTCCAGAACATAGTCAATAAGCCAAGAGATCTATCTGAACTAAAGGGAAAGGACTTGGGACAAATCATGGATGAAAAGAAGAGAAGGAAATTTATATGAACTAAGGCAGAGAATAATACTGACCACAAGATTGTAAATTACAATTCTGAGAGACTCAAATTCTGACCAATACAATAACCAATCACAATTCGAAAGACTGATCATATTAAAAAATAAGCTACTTATATAGGTCCATGGTTTCATATACAAACCTCTTTTTCTGACCCTCTTTCTTTATCAAAATGTTCATGTTTGCTAATGATTTTCTAGCTCATGATGAAACTTTTTTTTAGACCCCAAGGTTTCACCACACTCAGCATACTGACAAAGATGACAAAAAGTCAAAATAGACAATCTTGGAAGGGTGGTGATAAGACAAGCACATTGTTAGGAGAGCTGTAAATTGGTCCAACCATTTTGGAAATCAATTAGGAATTATTTGGAGAAAATATCTGAAATGCCTATATCTTTTGACCCAGAGATTCTACTGCTTGGCATATATTCCAAGGAAGTAAATAACAAAAAGAAAGGCCCTATATACATAAAATATTTATAGTTGCAAAAAACTGGAAACAAAGTACATGCCCATCAATTTGGAGATTGCTAAACAAGTTGTACTATAGTACATGAATGTAACAATATTCCAAAGCCATAAGAAAAAAATTATGACCAATACAGAGAATCACTGGAAGACATATGCACTTATGCAAAGTAAATAGAATCAGGAAGACAGTATACACAATGACCACGATATACATAGGAAAACTGCTGATCCAGAGTAAAATATCAGCTCTAACAAGTAGGCCACAGGACTTTAAAGACTGTGTGACTAGAAAAAGGCCTGTACAGCCTGGCTGGCCAGTTTTAGGGACCTGAAGGGCTCTCTCTAGGAGTCCAGTGAAAGCTAATTCTCCCCATTTATAAGCAACTTTGGTGGTTTGAAGATTGTTCTTAAATACAATAGTTTCCCAAAGCAGCCATCAAGGGCTAACATAGAAATATTTTGCCAGACTTCACACATATAATGGGTATCATATTGCTTGCCTTCTCAATGGGTAGGAGGGGTGTTTTGAGCGAGAATTTGGAATTCAAAATAAAAAAAGAGTATTTTTTTAAAAAGTAGCCATCAACTATGAGTGGAATGGGGTGTAGTAGAGAGCAAGGCACTGCATTCAGGGTTAAGAGATACTACCTTTGGCTTTCAATACACAAATGTATTTGTGAAGGCGACTAAATATACCAGGCACAAGAGAAACTTGGCTTAAATTTGCTACTGGTGACTTCTGTCACAGGAATCCAGGGGAAGCCTTTGGATACTACGGAGTGTTGACAAAAAAATGGGGAGCAGTGGGATGAAGCCACAGTAGCATCATGTAAAACTGAGCAATTGCTATAGACATTTGATTGTGGTAGGAGTTGGTCCCCCACTGAAGTAGTCTTCCCTTAAATATCTCTGCCAATCTATATTATGTCCTGGGAATTCTCTCTTCCCGCCCACACTGGCATTTCTCAAGTTTGTCAGAGATCTGGGGGCTTTGGCAGACTGTAAATCCAAAGAGTTAACTGTATGACATGGCAACCAGGAAAGCTAAGCTACCTTCAGCTGCATTAAAGGGACATAAACATACAAGGACAGCTAGGTGCTAATCCCACAATACTATGCCCTAGCCAAACCATGCCTGGAATCCTGTTTTCATTTCTGGCTACCACATTTCAACAAGGACATTCATTAATAAACTGGAGAGCATCCAAAGGAAAACCACCAGGATAGTGAATGGCTAACATCTTCCCATGAGCACTGGGCTGAAGGAATGGGTTATTTAGTCTAATAAAGAGAAAACTTCAAGGGAGAGACAGTGTCTGTCATCAAGTATTTGAAGTGCTCTCTCACGGAGGAAGAACTAAACTTGTTCTGCTCAACCCCAGAAGCAAAACTAGGACTACTGTGTGGAAGATGCAAATCAGCAAGTGTAGGTTTGATATAAAGAAAACCTTCCCAACAAAGTTATGAAAAAGCAGAGGCTGAATGACAGTTACTTATGTTGTGAAGGGGATCCTCAGCCAGGCTCAACTAGGCTACACAGTGGACTAGAGGGCCTCTAAGGCCCTTTTCAACTCTGAAATTCCATGACAATAGTCACTGATCTTGAAAAAAACTATAGAAATACCACATAGCCTGAACTTGTGCCTTCTGACATCAAGATTATTTAGAAAACACCACCTGGTCCAGCTGGCAGAGCGGTGTGTACATGAGAGGGTGGGTGGGAGGGATGGAGTTGCATCCTCAGTCTCTAAAAGACTTGGTTACTGAGAATTATCTAGTGAAGGCAGAGCCTCAGTCCCCAGGCTGCTGCAGCTGCTTTTTAAAATAAAAAAAAGAGGAGGTAGAAGATCATATGACCTGCTCTTAGAGGTCCTCCAGGAAGTTGCGGAGTGTTATAGTTCACAGTTGTGACTGCCTGGGGTACCTAGGACCTGGTCTCTAAATCAGAGGGACTTGGTAGAATGGGGGGGGGAGTTGGAGAGGAATGTGCTCAGTGTGAGAAGTACAGAGGAAGGAAAAAGGTCCACCCTCACCTTGCTCAGGACATGATACCTAGTGGCCACACACCCCAGGCTCACCAATTCCTCCTACAGAAAGGAAAGTGCACACTGACCAATTTCTGACAACCATATGCCTGAAAAACACGTGCTTCAACCAATTCCCAGAGGCACTCATTTTCCTTCTTCAGATGTTAGCCCTTCCTCAGAAAGTAACATTTTTGTCTCACGCTTCTTTCCAGTGACTATAACATGGAATTCTAAGCCTATACTTTCCAGAGCCAGGATACAGCCAGGCTAGCACAGCTGCTACAGAATCCACTGTGGCCCTCTGCAGCTTCAGGGAACAAAGTAAAATTATTTTGTCCCATCAGCCCAGGCCAAAGTGCCAGGGGTAGGGGCTGAGCCTAGAAGGAAGGGAAGCATCTAAAACAATGGTCTCCAAGCTTCTTGGATCATACACCCTGATTGCTAAAAAATGTTTGAAGATGCAAGCCCAAGTGTATATGTTTACTTATTTATAAATTATATACATGTACCACTGTATACCATAAAACACAAAAAATAGACATTTTAGAAGGATGAGATAATTTTTTTTTTAACAATTGAATCTTGAGTCAATAAGGAGCCACTACTGTTTATTGAGTAAAGGAGTGACATGGTCAGAGACAAGCTTTCGGAAACTCATTTTAGTAAAGCTGTGGGGAGGATAACTAGAGATAGACTTGAGGAAGGCCACCATTCCCCTCAATACCTACTCATTCCTGAAGGTCCTGCTCAAATTCCTCTTCTTCCATGAGGTCTTTCCTGAGCTGGAGCCCACCATGATCTCTGAACTTAAGAGGACCTATTGCCTATACCATTCATTTGCCACTTTTCACCTGATGCACTTTACAGTCAAATTTTTCCATGTATGGGCCGTCCTGACTTACCTTTGCCCTTTACATATGGCCAACCCAGAATAGCTATCCTACTAGATGACCCAGTGTCCACAGGAATTCTCTTTCCCTCTCCATTCTGGACTAAACTCAGGGTTTCCCTCCTCTCAAATTTCTGGCTTTTTACCTCAAGCTATTCCACGGTAAGGGGAGGAAAAAGTTTAAAGGTTGCTCCAAACACCACCACTGCCACATCCCTGGCCTAAGCACCAATTTCAGAAACATCTCCAGTCCCAGGCCCACCTCCTCCTCATTCAATGCAGGAAAAGCACTGGCCTGGGAGTTGGGAGGCTTGGTTCGGGTCCTAGCTTTGATGTAAGCTACTTCCATGATCTTAGACAAATCAGTGGCCCTTCCTGGCCCTTAGTTTTCTCACCCATGCCCTGAAGAGGTTAGACTAAATGACCTCTCAAGTTCCATGATGCACGTCCATGCTCTATTCTTCTACAAGGAAATGCTCATGACAGTCTAAGTCTGTCTTCTTGTCCACCATCTCCCACTTGTTTCTTCTTTTCCAGGTTTCTCTGCACTGCCAGGCAGGGAGGGGGAAAGTTCCCCACTCCTACTACAGGGAGTGGGAGGAAATGTGTTTCTGTCAACTTAAAGTTGGAACAATGAATGGACTTTTTCATAGTACATAGCAGTTAGGATTGATAGCAAACACTGTTACAACTCTCTCTTCAGGTACTCTTGTGTACATCAGAACTGTGCACATACGAGGCATTCAATAAATATGTGGTGACTGAAGTAGGGGATAATGAGGGAGAATAAAGAGATTAATCTCTGGAGTATAAAATCAGCTTCAGGAATCTATACAACCATGTCAACCCCAAGTCTTCAGATAGAACCTCTACACATTCCTTATCCTTCAATCCTTTCTGGGCCATGAAGGGTGTAGTGTCCTGAAGATTACTCAAGTTTCTGACTTGAGTCAAAGTGAGTGCTCAGCAGCCTAAGACAGAGTATCCATCACAGTTTCCTTATATAAACTGGTCTCCAGGGGCCAGGTCCAGCCTAACTGGGACAAGATATTCTTTCTAGAGAGTAATTACCCACTGATTAAATCACTCTGCTACATTACTGGAGAGTGTGGCTCTTGGGATCTGAAATTTCCTTTCCCTTCTGTCTAGGTATTTTCGTCACCAGGGGAACTCTGGACACAAAAAAATGAAAAAAAAAATCTGCAATCCACAAGGTCTCTGAAAAATATTTAGTATTTATAGTCAAGGTAGAATTGACTTACCTGGAGATGATGAGAGTCAAATGGAGGAAGATAGGGAAGAGAATGAGGTCCTATTTTTATTTGAGAGATAATTCCCAGGGTTCTCCTCCAATTAGAAAGTACATGTAGTAAAAAAAAAATGCAATTAGCTTCTAGAAGCCCAAATGGGAAAGACGGGTCAGGGACATCAGGAGAAAATATACTACCTTTGATTTTCTAATGAGTCATCAAATCTAGAGAAAGGGAATAAACTAAGGCAGCAGAGCTGCAGGAGATAAATCTCTAAATTACTGAGAAGGACACAGACAAAGTTAGATATCAAAAGGTGAACTGCTTTCCTGATACTAACCCTGAACTATCTCAGGGATGAGATAACCTCTTCCCAGCTTCATCTCTGATTCCTAGTCCTTGTCTCTGGAGTGTAGGATAGTTGAGGGCAGGCAACAGGCAATGTGCCATTCATGCCAAGAAGTGAAAGTAAAAAGTTCAAAGCAATGGAGAAAACTCCTTTTACTTAGCATTTATGCTAACTGACCAAAACAGCTGATCATGTGTCAGGAAGGCCATTATGGGAAACTTCCAAGGCCATGAAATATTGTGAAAGGAAACCTAGCTTGAGGTTATGACCCCAAGGAAATGAAAACCTTTAGTAGATAGGCCTACTCTCATGTTCCCTCCCCTTCAGCAAATAAATGGGTTCCTATACAAAGGTCACAGACATATCTACATCTTAGGAGTTCTGAATAAGATGGGAAGTCTCTCCTTAGGAAGGAAGGATGGTTCAAAGCATCACTAGCAAAATTCTCAAACACTGAGCATTTGGAACCAGGTGAACAATCCCAAAAGACCCAAAAAACTCTTATTCCAGCTGGCTAAAAAAGGGCTGATTGAAAAACCCAATTTGTCAAGGTCTTGAGGGTGATTTAAAAAAAAAGTAGGTCAGTCACACTCTTCTACACTCCTCTGCTTCTTAGTTATGTGGATAGTTGAGAAATATTTTTATGCACTCTACTATTACTCTAAGTTCATAAGGCATGTCAGTAGCTTCCTTTTCTCATAAAAGTATTCTACATTAGAAATAGTATATCCATAGTACTTTCTGTGAACTAAATAAAATGCATGTGAAGTTACCAGTGTCCCAGAATTACACTCTTACAGCCTAACAAACTCCCTTAAATTCAACATGCCCTTGTTGCCCAATACCCAAAAGCTGGCACCATTATGTAAGCATCCATCCCAGTGGAAAGTGTGCTGAGTATTCAGAAGATCCAGGCTCAAATCTGCCTGTGTATGGTGAACAAGTTATTTAACCTAATCAAACGCAGCTGCTGAACTAGATTTCTCAGGTCCCTTTCAGGTTTAAAAACAAACAAACAACAACAACAATAATTTTTTTAAAAAGTCATGATAAACTAGCTTCTTAAACTCCCCTTACACAAGCTGCTCCAGGTCTGTTAATTCTTTTCTGTTCCTGGAGTTGCAGAGCAGTAATGGAAGATAACCTTCCAACTCGTATTCTTAGAGTTAGTAGGTGGAAATGTAAAAGGGGATACATTTTATCAGCAAACCCAAACTGACCAGTAGGAATAAAAATTTAACTGAGCTGAAATCAAAAGTAGCCAGGTGTGTCTTCTCACTCTGAATAGGAAAGACAAAAACTTTACTAATCTCCTCCTAAGTAGCTTTTTGCCGTAGTAGTTTTGTAAATCTAAACTCTCGATGCAATTAATGGAGAGTACAAGGAACCCTGTCCAAGGGTGTAGGGAGGTGGAAGAAAGGGGTCCTTTTTGCTTTTCTGGTTGGGGCTAAAGTTGCCAGATCTGAAACCAAGCGACCTAGGAGAGGCCAGGGATGAGGGCCCTTCTTCGGGCAAGTTTAAAGCGTGGCGTAGGGGGAAGGGAAGTTGCCAAAAGATAAATGGGAATCTGGGGCTCGTAGGGGTGTAGTTCTAGAAATCTTCCAATCCCTTTCCTAGCTTTACTTTTTCCTGGGGTGGGGTGGGGGTGGATTGCACCCCTGCCCCAACACTTCCCACATAGGCTCCAGGACTGTCGATTGTCCTGGGATCCTTGGCTCTTATGAGGCACAGTCCCCGCACGGGGCAGGTACCTGGAGAGAGGAAGAGGGGAAAGAGAAGGAGAACCCCTCGCAGACACAGACACGGCGGTCCGGAGCGGCCACAGAGGCTCGGCAGGGTGGGGGAGGGGGGGACCCTGGGGCAGGAGAGGCATGGGCTGCAGGGCCGAACAGGCCCGGCGGGGAGCAGGAGGAACGTCCGGAGAGGGAGGCAGCTGGGGCTGAGGGGGGGGGGAGGGGAGAGGGGCCCCTCCCGCAGGGGAGGAAGGGGGGAAGGGCACGGGAGGCTGACGCTGGGGGGCGGGGCGGGGGAGACTGCACACGCTTCGGGATCGGGACTGGCGGGAAAGGGAGCAGGGGATCGTGGGTCCGGGAGGGAAAGTGGCGGAAGCAGAGAGGGAGGGCACGAGGGAGGGAGAGCGGGATGGGGAGCGTACGTCCCCAGGGCAGCCCTCGCCTCTGCTCACGCCTCACTCACCTTGCTGGCCCCCGCTCAGTCCCAGCTTCGGTACCTGCTTCCGCGCTGCTCCTCCCTGGCCTGCCGGGCGGGCGGCCTCGGCGCCCTTAGCAACCACGCACCGCCACGCGACCCGCGCTCGCCGGCGCTGTCGGCCACGTACCGCGTGCGCGCTCCCGACAGACGGACGTGAAAACAAATGAACACGGGACCCAGGCGAGGAAAGTTAAATCGAGGGAAGAGAGGGCAGGGGGAGGGTGATGAAAGAGTCCGCTCCCGACGACCTGCGCGTGCGCAAAGACCACCACTGCTCCCAAGAGGCAATGCGAGCTGACTTCTGGAGTGGTGTATCCTGGGAATGGTAGTCAAATATAAAGCAAGACAAGAGTAAGTACACAGTAACAATACAGAGCTCTCTTCTAGGACTCCGCAGAAGTCCGCTGTCTTTGAAAAAGTGAGTTCCAAGGAACTTCCCTTTCCTTTCTGATGAACAAGATGAATAAATCAAATGAGTCAACATATAATCACATATTTATTATATTATTTATAAATTGTATATTATTTGTTATATTTATAATATATAATCATATTGTTTTTGTTTATTATAAACCATAATGTAGAATATATTTATTCTGTAGGTGGTGAAGTAGATAAGAGCGTCAGACCTGGAATTAAGAAGGCTTATCTTCCTTAAATCTGGCCTCAGGCACTTACTACCTGTATGACCCTGGCCAAGTCACTTAACTCTGCCTCAGTATCCTCATCTGTAAAAATAAGCCACAGAAGGAAATGGCAAACCACTCCAGTGCCTTTGTCAAGAAAACCCCAATGGGGCAGCTAGGTGGTGCAGTGGATAGAGCACCAGCCCTGACCTGAGTTCAAATCTGGCCTCAGACCAAATACTTGATACTTAATAGCTGTGTGACCCTGGGCAAGTCACTTTACCCCCATTGCCTGGCAAAAAAAAAAAGGGATCTTGAAGAGTCAGACATGACTGAAATGCCTGAACAACAAATATAATTATATGTTACATAATTATGTATAAATATACAATTGTTACATGGTTATATAATTTATAATTGTATGTCATTATATATTTGATCTTTTATATAACTTTTGCATATTCTACATATGTTTATTAAACATACCTATATGTATATCATGCAATATACATTATAATATAATAAGGTGCTTTGCAAACCTTAAAGTGCTATTGTGATTGTGATTATAATTACGTTAAAGTACTTTTTTGAGTGCCAGCTTCCAGGAAAACTTTTGGGGTTCACCCATGAACCAAAGTGTGGAAAGGCTTGCCCAGCCTCTCTGTCTCCAGCACCTACTATAAGGTGCAGTTACAGCCTCCCTCTCTCCAGGTCCTGGATTTGAATCTTAGGATACATGACTCCTGAGTTCTTAAGGAGCCCAGACTATTTATTTATTCAATTGGACTGATGACCATCTGACCAGATGGGAGTCGTAGTGCTAAGGCAAGAAGGGGTCTCCATCTGGGACTCCAGAATTTGCTTTTGAAAACATTTGTTTAAATTATTTCAATAGAATTTATTTCCTTTGTGATATATGTTCTGCATTTTATGACATTCTACTGAGGAGAGGTCCATCAGCTTCACCAGACTGCCAAAGGTTTCTTGCTAAGCTATAGCTGGAGAAGTGATGGGACTAAACAAGGGGAATCTAGGAAACTGATGAAAAATCTGGAGGAAAGGATCTGGGAGAATTAGGGTCATTATAGAAAACAAAGCAGACCAAAACTGGCCAGCTGCAACTGTGGAAACCTTACATCACATTGACTTCAAATCTGCTTTCCTACCAGCTCTTTTCTTTTCTCCAAACGTCTCTTGTTAAAAATACTGTGCTTCTTAAAACAGGTGCATCAAAAGTCATGACGGGTCATTGCACTGCTCTAGTGATAGCAATCATTCCAGTAACATCTTCTACTACCCTCCCCTAAATACATACCACCAGCACTATAGACAGCTGGGTCATAATTATTTATGTGCTAGTTGACTGTATTTTTTGAGAAACCAGGAAGAGAAATGTGAACTCAGGAAAACTTAAAGAAATTCATAGGAGGAGGAATGAGATGCACTTTTTTATTAAAAGACTTTACAAACAAGGCTACAAAAAAACTGATACAACACCTTCAACCATAGATGGAAACATGAGTACAAAACAGGAGCTAGGTGTCGTGGAGTGGAAAATGGAAACTGGAGGTCAGTGGGATGGCCCCCGGGGACAGAGAGACACACGGGTATTTCTAAACGTGCCCCAGAACTGAACATAGACCCTGCTCCCAGCTCATGACGTGGGTTCTGGCACACCAAAAGCAGAACCCTACTGGGACTGGAACAAAGATCCTCCAGAGGAGAAACGAGTTGGGAGCTCCAATGAGAAGGTGGGTTCCCTTGAGTCCATGAAATTAGCTCCTGGGATCAAAGTTACTTTACTGGGGAGAATATAGCCCAAGATAAGATAACATAGCACAAGAAATAAGTATCCTGTGGAACCAGCAGAGCTGCCAAGACTGGAAGAAGTACAGGGCCCAAGAAGTCTGACTATGTCCTGAGAAGGCTTTTCTAATTGGGATCATCAAAGGCCCATATCTCCCTCTTCTGGCCTCTTGGCAAATTGGTGGTTTGGGTGAAAGGAAGTGGCAGATGTAGATAGGGAAAGACCTCCTGGGTGTCTGAAGAGGCTGGTAGCTTGGGCCCCAGGATTTCAGGCTCATGTGCTGTGAGCTGGTCTCAAAAGGTGGATGAGTTTCTTGCAGTGTCTGGCAGAAGAAGGTCGGGGACTACCACTGCTGTGGGGAGGTAGTGGGCCGGACGAGGCGAGGGAGGCTAATTTCTCACTGGCATCCAAAGACACCAACACCTAGAAGTGGACCAGATTGAAAGAACAAGCTGTCAGGGTTACATAGCCCCTCCCTCCTCAAAGTCGCCCCGCCTTTGGCTGGCTCTCATAATGAGTCTCTTCCTCTTTCTCTGTCCTTGCTTTGTGGTCTTACTGCTGACTCTGAAATGCCAGGAGATGCATATCACGAGAAGACTCAGGTTCCCACTCCCCTGAGAGGTGGGCTAGGCCCCTATACTTCTCCTCCCCCATTACAGATAAGAATGGAACGTTTTCACTGAGGAACCAATCAAGGAAGCCTGATTATTAATGCAATGTCACTGTAGCTGTGACTGGTGAGGTAACAAAGATAGGGTGTGCCTGGCGAATCGTGGCCACCTCTGGTGCCTTATCTACCATAAATGGAGATATGTAATGGGTCCTTAAGGAATGGGCTATGTTAGGGCAGCTAGGTGGCACAGTGGATAGAGCATGGGCCCTGGATTCAGGAGGACCTGAGTTCAAACCCAGCCTTAGACACATAACACTTACTAGCTGTGTGACCCTGGGCAAGTCACTTAACCCCACTGCCTAACCAAAAAGAAAAAAAAAGGAATGGGCTATGCTTGGAAGAGGAGGAAGAACTCTAGAGTTTGGATTCATTCCTAAGAGGCTAGGAGGGACAAGGACCTGTTCTCCTTTGTGCTATTAAACAGAGGCACTGAGGCACTAAAGGAGATATCCTTTCTTCACAAGGAAAAAAGGAGAACCAGAAGTGGCAGTGACCCAGCATCGAGCTCTATGGCCTGAGTTCTCCCTGACTTCCATGCCCCAGATGCATCTCAGCCTGATGTTCTCACTTTCTAGGACTCTTCCCTCCCTCAGGGCGAGAGACTGAACAAAAGACTTGGATGCCCCATTTCTTTTTTTCCATCCCCGGGCTTTCCTTCCTGATCTGTAGCCTCATTTTTGGTTTTTTATAGCCAAGCACAAGCTAGGTTTCCAGCCCCAGATCTCCCTCCACCGTGGCTGTTTGCGAGGTCACACAGCCAACACAGGAGCTCAGAGTTTTGACTGCCGGTCCCTGAGGACACACCTGGTGGATGCAAGGCTCTTGTCTGAGGCTCCGAAGGGCAATGAGGGCAGCTTCTCTCACTGCGGGCTGTGGATCTCCACACGCAGTTTCCAGGAGGCGATGGGGCACCTGGCACCGAAGTAGTTCTTCCCCTAGCCCTTCAGGGCCCAGGTTACCCAACGCAGAGGCCGCATTGCGCCGGGTCCCCGTCTGAGGATCACCTAGCAGCTGGATTACTCCGGGCACTGCAGGCGCTAGAGCTGGTGCCAGGGGCCCAGCCTGGTAGGCTGCATTTCCAACAGCAAAGCTGGCACTGCGGCGAACAGCAGGGTCCTTGTCCCTTAGCCCAGCCAAAAGCAAGCTTAGCAGTCCTGCCTGGCTCTGGAGGGCCCCCCGAAGGGTGGTGCTGTGATGTAGCAAGTGGCCCAAGAGGCCATAGGCCCGGGCACGGACCGGATTCTCTGGGTGGCCCAGGAGGCAGCGAAGGGGCCAGTAGGACTCATCAGGCCCAGCTAAGAGGTCCTGTAGGAAAAGCAGATGGGTGGGAGGCCAGACTCTGGCTGCATGGGCTAAGAGAGAAAGGATGTCAGAGGTCAGAAGGGGCTGGTCACCCAGCAAGGCAGCTGCCAGGAAGGTGATGGTGTTAGGTGAGGTGGTCACAGCAGCTACAAACTGGCTGAGGGTGGTGGAGTCTGTGAGGACCAGTCGGGTGAGAAGGCTGACAGGCAGTTCAGCCTGCGGTAGCAGGAGGTAGCGGCAACAGACCTGGGAGAACAAAGGTAAGCAGATGAGAAAGGCAAAGGGTGTCCTTGAGTCTCTCAGGACAAGGAGCCGAGTCCTAAGGTAGAGCCAGAGAAGAGGCAGTCCGGAGTATCAGAGTCTTCATTCCCCAAACAAGAAGCACAGACCAACCACACTCTGTTCAACAGATCTCCCCCAGGGGCTCCAAATCAAAGACAAGAAGGGCCCCAAAAGGGGATGTGAGAAGTTACCTTGTCCCACAGGGATGGAACACTGCATATGTTTTCATGCTTTTTCAATGTATTGGCTGGTTTTTGCTGATGATTTTTTCTTTTAAAATTTTTCTTTTAAAATATTATTTGCTACATGGGATGGCTCTCAGGGAAGGAGAAGGGATACAGGAGGAATTTGGGGGATGTAAAAACAAGATATCAATACAATTTTTAAAAAATAGATATCAAGGAGATTCCTGGCCAATGGCCCCAATCTGGGGAAATTCTCCCTTTGGACTTTTAGCAGACCTTGAATATAGAGGCGATGGGGAAGAGAAGCCACACACTAACTCCCAGGAGTGGTCTTCATCCAGGCCTGAGCACCAACACCCACTCCTCCTTGACCTCCCCTCCCTTTGCCAGGCCTGGTCAGATACTATCTTTGGCCTTAAAGGGTGCATTACAATAGAAAGCATAGAAACAATTATGAAAATAACTAGCAGTTATTGCGTATATTGATGGGAGGTTGCTGGAGTGGTTGCCACTACTAGAACCAGGTGAAATGACTGAAAATGATTTCTGCAAGACAGTTTTGAACTAGGGAAGAGACCCATTTAGAGAAGGGAAAGGACTTAAAGAAAGGCAGAAGTAATCAAATCCTGTCCCACGGCTGGTGAGGAGACACATTTTGCTGAGACTAGCACTAGCCTGTCAACTGCCCCGCTCAGCATGCCCGTAGCAATCTTCCCTAGAAGACCCATCCCCTACCAGCTCCTCCAAGGCTGCAGCCCTGCCCACGCACCTGCAGCAGATGGGCCGGCACTTCTGAATCCCTGAGGTCTGCCAGGATACTCAGAAGAATGTCAACGTCCACATCCATGGCGAAAGGGAAGCAGAGAAGTTGGCAGACAGGGAGGACTACAGCTGGAAGCAGCTCGGATCCATGTTGTCTGGGGAGTACAGATAGGGCAAATGTTCTTGGTCTCTCACCCATTACTTGGGCTCATGTCCTACCAGTCCCCAGACTGCATCCCCTCTCACCAGGGCTCTGGTTGAGCCTCCCACCCCCAGCTCCTCGTCTCACAAATCCCCCAGGTAGCTGGTTCCTCTCTTTCAACAGTCCCATTCTTGGCCCTTCCATCAGCTAAATCCCAGACTCACGTCTGTCCAAGCTGCTGCAGGAAGCTGGGGGACAGCAGGTGCTTCAAAGTGGACATGAGGATGCTGCCATGCTGAATCAAGTGGGGCAGGCACAGGTGGGGCTCCTGGGTGAAGACTGCCAGGGCAAGGTTGAGCAGAGCGGTAATGCCTGTGAACACAAAGCATGTAAGGGTGGGGAAATGGCCCATTAGGGCAAGGCTGACAACTGAGTTAACCACTGCCCAGTGACTTCTGTGGCTGAGGGCTATTCACAGGCTCACAGGCCCACAGCACGAGTGCTACAAGAGACCCAAAAGGTCATATAGTACAAGTCCCTGCTCAGCCAGGCTGGGGAAGGGACTCACCTCAGAGTGCCCAGAGAGAGGCTGTGACCTCATGTCCTTGACTCCAAATTCAGAGCTCTTTCCACTATACTACACAGCCTCCACTCCCTGAATAACTAGGAAGATAATTCTACAGCGGCTCTGTCCCCAGTTCTACCACCCTCTCTTTGCATCAGCAACAGGAATAGCCTTTGCCTTCCAAGATATTCCAAGTAGCAAACAGGACCCGTCACAGGTTGCTGGATCCAGTGCTGGAAGGGAAAGCTCAGAGGCCATCTGGTCCAACCCTTCATTTTACAGATAAGGAAACTAAGGCCTGGCCTGGGGACAGTAAGTAATTTGCTCAAGGTCACAGTCAGCCAAGTCCAAACCTCAAAGGAGAACCAAACTGGCCTTAGAATGGGAATGACACAAAGGATGGGACTGGGCAGGAACCAGGAACCAAGGGAGGTCTAGGGTCATGTGAATGTCAAAGGCTGGAAATTGAAAGAGCCCCACACATCATTGACCTTGGGGAAGTCAATGAATGAGACATGAAAATTCTGGGAATTCTACCTTGGGGAGAGATGAGAGTCCATTCAGGCTCTGGGACGGATTGGCTAGGTAGGGATATCTCATCCTCCGAGGTGGGTACCTCCTCAGACAGTCTCAGTGTCATGAAGAATCGGTGCCACAAAATGGTCCACAGTTCTGAGTTGGCCACATCCTGCACTATCTCTGCCCCACCCTGAGAGAGAAAGCATCCAGGTGGTGCCTGGGCTTCAGACATCAAGGCTCCCAGATGTTCTTCCCTGCCCCTGATGTATAGGAAAAGGGCACCCTAAAAACCATCCCCTCTTCTTCATGGTGTCCACATTGGCCCATTTCTCTAGGCAGGCATGACAAATTAAAAAGAGAGGTAAAGCTGAAATTCCTCTTATGTCCTAAACAGCGAAGTGGCCTGGTTCCCTCGTCCCTACTTCCTGCCTGTCCTGGGTTGCAGAGATACCTGGGTGATGAGCTGCAACAGAAGAAACAACAAGCCATCATAGAATCCGGAACCACCAGGTGGAGTACGACGCAGCTGCAGGAAGGGAGAGAAGAAAGTCGGACGTGACCTACCCCACCGGGAGGAGCGGAGGAGATATCTGGCTGGCAGACAGGCGGGCAGCCAGAAACACAGGAGTGCAATGTTTATCCCGTCTTGGGCTCCACAGAAAACCTCACACCATATATACTAAATCCTTTCCTTTAAAACATGATTTTGTTTTTTAACATAATAGATACTTCCCAACAAATGCTTAAAAAGTATGTTCCCCAAAACGTTTATCAAGTCTTAACAGAATGAAGGAGTGTAGCCTCCAGCTCAGCTGGCTCAGTGCTAACACTGACTGCCATGGCCGACTATGTGAGGGTCAACATCGGAACCAAATGAGAGGAAATCACAGGAGGCTCAACCTAACCTATTCAAGGAACTACTGACACACACAAAAAAGGAAGTGGGAAAAAGCAAAGATACCGACTTCTGTTCATTATTTTCTACCAAAATGTAACTGATCAAAAGCAGTCCATGAGAAGGCCAAAATGCTTGGTTTCTTTTGGCCAAGAGGAGAAAGGAGGCAACTAAGTGCAGTGAAGTATTGACACTGATTGCACAAAGTGAGAGGCATGCGAGAAACCCTGGAACCTAAAATAAAAGGAAAGGGAAAAGGCAGCAAGATTGTTCAGCCCTGGGAAGGCAGTGGGCTTGAGTGTGGGTTCTGAAGAGTGAACAGAGGACAGTAACCATTTTCCATCTCCACAGGAACAGAATGGGAGAGGATGAGTGGCAGGAATGATGAAGGTCCAACACCAGGAAGCATTTTTCAGCAGTAACAGGATCTAGAGCAGGAGAGTGGGAAAGAGACCCTGGCCTCTCTGGGTTGGGAGAAGTTGTTTTGTTCCTCCAGAAGTCATCCTCTTGCTTCTAGACCATGCCAGATGGACAGCTGTGTGACAGCATGTTAGCCCAGGTCTGGTGGCACTTAAGTCTGTCCTCCAACCAGTGTGGGATGAAGCGATGCCTTCCTCTGAGAGCGTCTTACCTCTGCGGGAGCAGACAAGGCATGTGCTGCTGCAGCAGTCCACTCCTTGGGCTCGAGATTGAAGGCCACACCCTGCTGGCTGAACTGTGACAGCAGACCAGCCGCCGCACTCTGAGAAGGAGATAAAGGGGGTCAGAGGAGAATGAGAGGCACCAGGAAGCAGTTGGGAGAGTGCTGGACCTGGACTCAGGAAGACGAGCTCAAACTTGGTCTCAGACACTTACTAGCTGGGTGACCTTAGGCAAGTCACCGAACCTCTGTCTGCCTCAGTGTTCTGTAAAATGGGGATAATAATAGCATTTACCTCACAGGACAGTTATGAGGATCAAATGAGATATTTGTAATGGGCTTTGCAAACCTCTACGTGCTATATCCAATCCAATCCAATCCAATGAACATTTAGTAACTCCTATGTGCTAGGCACTTCTACAAATGTTTAAATGCTAGCTATCAGAATCTGAATGGCTGTGGGGTCAGAGGAGGAGAGGAGGACTATGTCTAGATGGAGACCAGCAGGATCTCCTCCAGAAACAGCTAGAATTGGGACAGGTGTTCCACCTCTCCCCACAGCCCCAGGAGGGGTATGGGGAGGAGCTAGATTAGACTCACCACAAGAGAGACAACAGGTGAATGGACAAAAAGAACAGCGAGCTCATTCCCTATCTTCTTCACCCTGGAAGAAGAGGACACATACAGGGACCCAGTAAGATTATTGTGGATTACATCAAGGAGGAACCAAGACTTTTCCTTGGCCCTGATTAAAATCCCCTTTTGCATTTCCCACTAATTTTTTTTTCATGTGAAGTTCCATATTCTCTCCCTCCTTCTAGCGTCTCCCTCACCTATCTTCCTCCTCCCTGCTAGAAGACAAGCAATATGACACCCATCATACATGTGAAGTCATACAAAATATATTTCCATATTAGCCACGTTAAAAAAAACAACAAAGAAAAAGGAAGACACATAAAGAAAGTGAAAAAAGTACACTTCAGTCAGTTCTCTCTCTCTGAAGGTGGATAGCGTTTTTCATCATGGTCCTTTGGAATTGTCTTGATTCACTGTATTGATCAGAATAGCTAAGTCTTTCACAGTCAATCACTGTACAGTATTACTGTTACTATGTAAAATGTTCTCCTGGTTCTGCTCATTTAACTTTGCATCAGTTCATGTAGGTCTTCCCAGATCTTTCTGAAACTATCCTGCTCATCATTCCTTATAGTATGATAACATTCCATCATAATGATATACAACAACTTGCTCAACCATTTCCCAATTGATGGGCATCCTGTCAATTTCTAATTCTTTGCCACTACAAAAAGAACAGCTCTAAATATTTTTGTACATAAAAGTCCTTTTCCTTTTTCTTTAATCTCTTTGGGATACAGACCTAGGAGTGGTATTACTGGATCAAAGGATATATACAGTTTTATCGCCCCTTGGGCATAGTTCCATGTTGTTCTCCAGAAAGGCTGGATCAGTTCACAACTCCACCAACAATGCATTAGTATCCCTATTTTTCCACATTCCACATTCCCTCCAGCATTTGTCATTTTCCTTTTCTGTCACGTGAGCCAATCTAATAGGTGTGAGATAGTACCTCAAAATTGTTTTAATTTGCAATTCTCTAATTATTAATAAGTGATTTCGAGCATTTTTTTATATGACTATTGACAGATTTGATTTTTTCTTCTAAAAATTGCTTGTTCACACCATTTAGCAATTAGAGAATGTCTCTTATTTTTATAAATTTAGCTCAGTTCCTTATATATTTGAGACCATTAACTTCTAAGACAGGGTTGATAGGTGGTAGAGCCACTCCACTCATACCATATTAATGGAAGCACTGGTGCCTTCTTTTCCATGCTCTTCTCATTGTTGGGGGATGAAGAGCCCTTCTCACAAACCCCTGGGCATGAGGATCTCCATGCCTGCACTCTATACTATGGCAGAGCTGGGTATGACGGTCTCTGTGGTTATATGCCTCACTATGGCAGAGCTGGGCAGAAGGTTTTCCATAGTTAAACTCCACATTCCATAACTTACCCAGGAGGTAAGACCTGAAGCCGGAGGACCAGGAGGGAAAGGAGGTGAAGCGTAGCTTCAGCAGCCTCTTCTGGATCCACTACATCTACCTGCAAAAGAAAGCAGCAACTCAGGACAACCTCCTACATCAAGATGCCTGGGCTCCCAAGGAGACAACTGGACTTTGGTGCCCTCCCACCTTGGTGCTACCTACCTTACCCTGCACCAGCAAGAGCAGTGATTCTAAGGCTAAGGGCTCTTGGTCTAAACGCCTACAGAGACTTTCACTGACATGACAGCAGGCATATAGCACCTAGGGAGATAATGCAGAGAAACTTAGCACATGAAGGAGAGGATGCTCAAGCCAAAGAACCAGCCAGTCCTACCCTCTTCCATCCTGTTCCATCTTCCAGGCTCCCAGTACTGGCCCCACAGCTAGTAGTATAGGCCTATGTTGGGAAGTATGCTGGGGGGGAGGGTTGGGGGGAAGAGAGGAATTCTGTCTAAGGTCCAGTGGGGACATCTGTTTGGGAAACAGATTTTAAAAGAGGGTTCCTTCAAGGATCTGTTTTTCATATGGGTTTCAAGTGGTATTGTAGTGGAACTAGGCAATTTTCAATGGTAGAGAAGATGGCCAATACCTTGAGTAGGTGCAGGGAGAGGGTGGGATGCTGAAGGCTGGAGAAAAGGTACAGCCGAAGCTGACTGCTGTCTTCTGTCAGCTGATCTGCCAAACACTTGGAGACCTGAAGGCGATGTTGCCACCCTTAGCTCAAACTTCATACCTTATGTATACATGCACATTCACCTAGATCCACATTTGCTTTTAGCCCCCCAATGACCAGCATCCTCTTGCTCTCCCCCAGCGCCATACTTCCCCATATGTAGGAAGCCAAAGACCACAACCCAGTTCTTCCCCAAGGTGGGTCCATTGGGGAAGGTGTCAATGACAAGAAGGGAGAGGGAAAGCCCAACATGGAACATGTGCTCTGAAGCCACAAGGAAACAAATCAGTTGCGAACTCTCTGACCCTATGTGGGAACACTTTCACGTCTTACAAGATGGGAGATTTATCACTGAACATCTCGAATCTCCCCTCTCGGCTAGTCAAAGATAACTGGGCCAGGTGGAATCTTGAGGAATCACTGTCTCACGTCCAATAAATGGCTCCATAGCAAAAGCATTTAGTGAGCAATGTTAAGGAGGCCTGAGGACTCAGTCTAAGTTAGGTGGGGGAGGTTGGTGCCAGAATCCTTGGGGAGTTGGAGCAGGGCCCTCCACTAGGGAGGGAAGGTGACAACCAAAGCTCCCACCTGTTCTTTGGCCTCCCAGCACTCAGGCAGCCCCACTGGAAGAGTACAGATGGCAGCAAGTGCTGTTGCAAAGGCCCTGGGCAGATCTTCATCCTGCTCCCTCCGTAGCTGGCTAACTTGTGGGGCACCTTCAGAAGTCAGAGAAGGAAAAGAGTGGAGGGGCTGGCATACTCATCCTCCAGACTGGTAGAAGTATAAAGCTGGATGGAGAAAGTGACTGTCCCCCACTCCCTCTGGTTACCTGGTGGGGTGTGAAGAGGGAGTTGTGGGAGTGCCATCCCATGAAGGAGGCCATCCAGCACAGGCCTGTGTGTGGTCAAGAGGCTGGAGTAGAAGGACTTGGAGATGGGGAGGCTGCTGCCATCCATGGTCTTGCACAGATCAGTGAAGCACTGGAGGAAAGGAGAGTTGGCCTGTGTAAAGTAACTGGCCGATAACAGGTGTTGCTGACCCAGATCACAAACAGCGGTCTGTGGGAATCCCAAGGCTGGGGATTCCAGCTGTGCAGTCCCTCCTGCCCAGGCAACAAGAGGTGCTAATGACTAGGAACCCAGAACATGAGTCACACTGCAGACATCCCATGCTACCAGCAAAGAGGCGGCCCTGAGTGGGGCCTTCAGCTCCTGTCCTTGAGACAGAAAAGCCAGGTTTGGTCAGGGTGAAGAAAAGAAGTTTACAATGGAAAAACTGAATGAATATTGAAAAGCTCCAACAGTTTATTTTCTTATAATAGACATCATTAAGGTTATTTATATGACCTGTGATTTACCATCTTTTAATAATTCAGGCTCTTACAAAGGAAGACAGGCCATAGATACCATAGATAACAGACTATGAAGGCTCTCACTTGACTCAGGTTCCAAGTTTTCAATATACAGCAACAGAATTTGGGTTTTAGGTTATACATGAAGAAGAACTTGACTTTCAGGCACAAGAGACAGACAAGGAAGCCCTGGCACCTCATTCTTTGTGATCCTAGCTTCCTGGCCAGGATCATTTGAATAAAGAGCTAGCTGGAGGAATGAAAATTATTTAGACAGCCTTTTGAAGTATCTTCTGCTAGAAGAAGGATTTGGGGTTGGATCCTATATAGCCAGAGACAAACAGAGTTGAGAAAAACCTCAAAGAAGAGGACGGGGCAGGACAGCAGAAAGTGTTAAACATCCAGGGCTGGGGATAAGATTACCATAAGACTATCCCTCCGCAGGCTCTGCTCAGCATCATCAGGCTGGGCCAGCAGCTTTCCCAAAAGGTTCAGGAAAAGGTTGGCTGCCTCCTGAAATACCTGGAGGCTAGAAGAAATATGCGTCTGTTACCTGAGTGTGGCACCCATCCTCATCCTGAGGACATTGGAAGCTCCAGCCCTCCCCCCTACCCTCCACCCATTTCTTTCAAGCTTCCAAATCTTGGTTCCATAGGATTCCCTATTAAGAATTAGAAAAGACATTCCCCTAGGAGCAACTAGGTGGTGCAGTGGATAGAGCTCAGGCCTTCAAGTCAGGAGGACCTGAGTTCAAATGTGGCCTCAGACCCTTGACACCTACTAGCTGTGTGACTCTGGGCAAGTCACTTAACCCCGACTGCCTCACCAAAAAAAAAAGAAATGACATCCCCTCAAATGCTACAGTTGTTCTGGAGAGAATCCTAGGATTCCCACCGCTCTGGACACATTAATGTGCTCTTCTGCCTTCAGTATAATAACAGCTAGAGTTTATATAGCACGTTAAAGTTTGTAAAGTGCTTTATGATTATTATCTTATTTGATCTTCACAACCACCTTGGGAGGTAGGTGCTATTATTATCCCCATTTTACAGATGAGGAAACTGAGGCAGTCAGCAGTTAAGTGGCTTGCCCACAGTCATACAGCTAGTAAGTGTCTGAGGCTGGATTTGAACTCAGGTCTTCCTGACTCCAAGCCCAACGCTCTGTGCACTGTTCCATCTAGCATTCTATTGGAAATCTCTAGGTGCTGTGATCTCTTTGGTACTGACTGGGGTTTGCAAAGGTTTGGACAGAAGTCGGGATTTCCAGCTGGAATCCCAAAGATGTCACTCACTAGAATCCTAAGTATTCTGACAGCTGTCATAGCTTTCCTATGGTTCCACTGGGGAGGGGCAAAGCAGAGAGCCAGGCTGACGGAGAATGAAGAAGCTAGACGTTTCTCACTCCTTCATCATTCAACCTACCTGTCACCTGTCTGACTCCTCTCCAGGTTGAAGCTACTGGCAAAGTAGGCCTGGATTGTAGCCACCAGGTCCCTCAAGAAAGTTCCACACCAGGGCTGCTGCCAGGGAAGAGAAGGATTAAAGTAGAGACAGAGAACAGGAAGAAACAGACAGATAGACCTAGAGGGAGAGGAAGAGAGAACGGTTTCATAGGATTGTAGGCTGAAAGCTATACAGGACCTCAGAAATCACCTTCTCTAACACTCTCATTTTACAGAGAAGGAAACTGAGGACCAGAGAAGATAATGACTTGCCCAAGGTCATGAAGATAGTACCAGAGCAGAGATTCAAACCCAAGTCCTCTGTGCCCTTTTCCATCCCATACCTTACTTGGCCAAAGACAGACTAAGGGGGAGAAAAGGGCATGTGGGCAGAGCGAGAGGTGATAGGAAGGGAGAGAGCCAGGCCACAAGCACAGTCAGAGAGCACGGTCAGAGAAGGGGCCTGGGAGCAGAGGGTTCTGGGCAGCTGCTGGCTCTTCTCTGTGAGCAGGTATTCACCTGCTGGATAGTAACATTGCTCTGACTGTGTCTGAGAAGGTTCAGCAGGAGGCCTGGCAGGCCAGCCTCCCGGCAGAAGGTATAGAGCAAAGCTGAGTCACTGCAGGTAGTCAGGAGGCTCTTTACAACCCGGAGGACGGGAAGCAGGCGGGAAGCCCCATCGAGGATGCCCTCTAGGACCTAGGAGATGTTGGGGAAGAACATGTATTAAAAGAGTGTTATCCATAATAAAAGAAAGACCCTGAGTATCCCCAAAGGAGAGGTGGCATAGACCAAGGAGCTCCTCATTTCCCTCAGACCTCAGGTCTTTGAATCACTGGCAAGGACACTGGGGGTTGACCCAGATGGGGATCACATCAGCCATACTCTCCCCTCCCCTCCTCTCTTCTTCCCTCCAGCTCCCTCTCCTGTCCATCCCTTTCAGCTTCTCCTAGATCCTCTGTGGTCCCACCCTGGCCTCTTCCAACTGGCCTGCAGCTTACCTGACCACCAGCCCCATGGAGCTGGTTCTGGACACGCTGGCAGAAGTCAGGGCTGCAGAGAAGGGTGAGGGGCGCTTTTAGCTGGAAGTCTGAAGGTGCTGTGGGCTCCAACAGGTGCTGCCACTCACTGTCACTGTCTGGCTTCTGGCCCAGGAAGAAGGAAAGGGACGTGAAGGGGGTTGGGAGCCTGAGGGAGCAACAGATGGGGACTTCCCAGGCAAGGAGTCAATCACCAGCATCTCACCTCAGGCTCCAAGGTCACAGCATTCATGTTTTCCTCAGCTTCTTGCTTTAGTTCTGGGAACTCCTGATCATATTCCTGGGTGCCCTGTGGTTCTCTATCAGGGAAGATGCTGAAGAAATTGAGTTCCAGTTCTGGGAGGTTTACGGTACATGAACCATCCCCTCCCCAAAACCCCCAAACAGGAAGTGGAAAAGGTCATGTGAAGCAATATATGTGGAAGTGTCTTCTTTTTAAGATCTGATCAAGATAAGAAATTATAACACAGTGGAAGAGGCTCCCTTAAGCATAACCCTGCCCACCCAACCACTGACTTGTCAAGCCTTCTCCAGCATCTTGCATCTAAGGGTTTCAATGGATACACAGTTATCTCTTCCACATCGCAACTTTCCCTATCATGGTTTCTATATATCTCGGGTCAGCATAAGAAATTAAATGATAATTTTGAGGGAGTTTTGCAGAAGCCACAGTAGACACACAAAGGCCAGCAGATGACACGAAAAATACTTAACCCAAATTTTACAATAAGGTTCTGTAAAGACCCCGTAAAAGAAAAAGAAAAAATGCAGACTTCTTCTCTGGTACAAAGGGAGGGCCAAAAGTTATGTAGATTCTCTAGTTCGTGAGGGTGATGCATCTGCAACGTGGAAGGGATAACTATGGCTAATCTTATGATGGAGATAATTTTCTCTCCTTCAGTTGAGAATCCTCAACCATAAGAACTGCCTCCACAAGATCAGTCCTAAGAGCTGGTGACCACATGGTGCTTCCTCTGACCAGATACCTGATCACTTCCCCAGTACGTGACTATGCCTACATCCTCACCGTGGAGGCGGGGGAGGCTCAGTTGCTTCCCAGTTTGCCCATTCATTCTTGTCTTCTGGGGGAGGGGCTCCAGAGGAGAGGTAGAGATCCTGAGAAGTGGCTCTCAGTCTGGGTAACAAGGCTGTAACAGGAACCACCTTGCTTGCTTTGTCTGTTTGCTCAAAGGAAACTCCAGGGTTGAGATGTTTCTGTGGGGGGAGGGGGGGGAATTAGATCAGAGAGACTTGGTCACCACAGGATAGCCTGGACTTTGTCCTAAGACTTCTCCAAATTCTAGAAACTCTTGTTCTTTCTCCAATTTCCCATTGATAGTCCAGTCACCTCTCTGGCCCTCTCCAATGCAAATTTCCTTCCCACCCAAGAAAATGACCTGGGCTTCACCTCTGTCCCAAATACCTTCTGCCTAGCCTCCTCAGTCATGCGCTTGCGGGCTTGGCGCAAAATACGGGACTGACCAGACTTGGGGGCCAGCCAGTGTGCCTGTTCTTCCTTTAGAACCTGAAGCTCTGGGGGTAGTCGGCTGGTGAATGGAGTTCCCAGATCAGAAGCCGTTGGTTCAGAGGTCACTGCAGGGGAAGAGTTGGAGAGAATGCCATGTTGTAATTCAAGGAGAGCAAAATGGTGGCTAAAGCCCTAGCCTAAAAAGGTTTGAGGTAGACAAGGGAATAAAGACTCGTACAAAAACAAAGGGTCCTTCCACAGAACTCACCAGTGACTCGGCCTGCAATGAAAGGATGGTAGAGGAGCTCAGGCCAAGCTAGCCGCTGACGAGGATCCTTGGTGAGCAGTCCCTGCAGGAAACTCTGTGGGGAAAGTACTCTATCACTCTTCTCTTCGGCCTTCAGCATCCCTCTCCCCAGACCAGGTAATACACCATCCTCTCTTCATGTTTGGAAGGCTCTTCCCCTCTGATTCCTAGGATTTCTGATTTCCTTTCCATAATCTTCGAAACAGGCTTTTTTGTTTTGTTTTGTTTTGGCCACCCTCCCCCCTCCTCTACCAGCTACTCGTGCCATCTCCTCCCAGGTTATTTCAACATCTGACTTAGACCTGTTCTGGGTGTACATGTTTTCACCCCCATTATACATTCCCTGAGCACAGGGATGGTCTCACTTCTGCCTATATCCCCAAATGCACTGCACAGTCATGGCTCAATAAATGCTGGCCTGAGTATTTCCTCAGAAGCTGGGCTGGTCTTGGTCACAACCCTGCCATCCATTCTCAATGATCCTTGTTTCTGTTTTCAGAAGATAGAAGAGACCCCCTAGTGAATATTAAGAGCCCAGGAAGTAGAAAGAAGATCCTCGATTCTACCATTCTCAGGAGAAAGGAGGATCTGTGTACGTACACATTGTTTTCCTTGTTAGAATGTGAACTCCTTGAAGGCGGGGGGGGGGGGGGTGTTCTCTTTTGTCTTTATTTCCCCAGTATCTAGCACTCATTACCTGATATAGTCAGCACTTGATAAATTCTCAACGATCAACTGATTGATTGAAAAATAATGAGGGAGAGAAATTTCAACAACACTGGCATCTCTGCCAGCCAAGATCCTTAAAGGATATTCACTATAGCTCATTGATTTCTATGTTCAATTAATCAGCATGCAATTCTGGAGCAGGGGAGATTAATTTATAATAAAAGAAAGATGTTAGAGGCTGAAACCAGGGCCAAAGTGGCTAAGGTGTGGATGGTAGCACACTGATTCATACTAAAACCTCAGCCTCAGGATAGGAGCAGAGAGACCATCTCTGAGATAGTAATGACCCTCAGAACAGCACCTGCAATTCCTGTCCATCTTCAACAATTCATCAATGGCAAATGAGTTTTTTTTTTCAAATTCTTCCCCAAACCCAGAAAAAGGCACTGGGAAAAAGAAGGGAAATGGATTTCCAGGAAAAGACCCTCTGTCCCCCTGCCCAAGCTTCCCCCCTCCCCACTCCATCCTATCCATATTCCCCACCTTAAAGCACTGGCTTATCGTTGGAGGCCATCTCACTGGATCCTTTAAGATGAGGCTAACAAGCTGGAAGATACTGGTAGTGTAGAAAGGTGGCGTCCCCACAGCCAGTTCATAAAGGATGCAGCCCACTGACCACAAGTCAGCAGTGTGATCATATGGGCGCTCCTCCACCAGCTCTGGGGACATGTACAGTGGTGTGCCTTTAATGGATGTCAACACCATTGTATTTGTACTCATGGCACGGGCAAAACTGGAAGAAAGAATGGGGGAAGGGAAGGGAAGGGGATTAATGGCATAAGGTGAGAAGTTATGCAAGAACAGTCAAATCTGGTTTCATACATACCTATCACAACCTGACCAAGAAAATGTCTCTATCCCTAACCCTTTCCCACTCCCATTCAGCCAAACTGTTCCCCCAACCTAGCTAAAGAAAATCTCTCTCAATTTGTCTTCCTAGTATCCAGAAGAATCCCTCTTCCCACCACCCCCAGTCCTGAAACTAATTTCTCAAATCAAACCCTTTATGTAGTCTAGCCTAACCATCCACTGAGGACCCGGTCTGCCTCCCCAAGAGTAGCAACAGGTGTCTGGGATTCCCACCCAAAGTCACAGAGCTTGATGCCACCACCCTTGGCCAGAAGAATATTCTGGGGCTTCATGTCACGATGCAGGATACGGTGAGAGTGCAGATAATACAGGGCCGAAACCAATTGAGCTGCAATGGCCTGAACCTAAGGATCAACCAGTCAGAAAGAGGGAAAGAAACGAGAAAGGGAAAGAAGCCAATATAAGGTTGGCCACTCTGAGCTACCCTACTACTACTCCAAATGGCTATGGTATGATATATTAGCAAATTCCTCACTCCCCAGGAGCCTAGCTCTGCTAAGATCCCTTACTCCTTGGGTTCCCAGGACAATATTCACTAAGCCAAACCACAGAGAAACCCAAGAATTAGAACGGTTAAAGATGAAAACTCAGGCAAGTCATAGTCCCAGCAAACTAGAGGTAATAGGGGTAAGGTAGGAATCCCACCTGACTCTTCCCTCTCAGTCTTCTCAGGACACCATTAACTCCCTCCAGACCAGTCCCTCTCTAAGATACTTAAGATACTATAACTCCTTTCAACACTCCAAATGTTAGATTCCAGTGCTCTCAACCCTTTCTACTACTCCTGACTAGTGGGGAGGTTGGACAGAAGAGAAAGGTACTAACTAATCAGAGATACCTGGTCCTCAGGCAGCTTCCCATCATCTTCTAGGATCTGAAAGAGCTCCCCTTCAGCATAGTCTGTTACTACTACTACCTGCAGGGAGGACATGAATAAATGTTTAACTTAAGTCATCAAGAGATGGGAAAATACCAGATCCTGGGACCCCCTATAGTAGGGTTTGTAGAGGGGAAAGGACTAACCTTCACTTACCTCTTTGTCGGTTTCAAAGCTGTCAAGCATCTGCACAATGTTGGGATGCCTCAGACCCCGCATGATTTCAATTTCCCGCTGTAGATTTCTCAGCTCCTTTTCTGAGCGCCCCAACTTTGGAATGAACTTCAGAGCCACCACCTTCCCAAGGCAAGGGGAGAAGAGGTCAGGGCCCTCCCTGAAAGAAGCTTCTGGCTTCATTTTTGCCTTGTGTGGCTCTTTCTTCAGCATCGCCTTCAGTTCTCCAAAATCCAACTTTTATGCCTGTTTCCTGCTTTCCTTCTCTCCACAATCCCTTAGGGCTTTAGCCAGGCTTCCCATAACCCTCTCCTCAAAAGGCAATACCTCCCTGAAATAGGTCTCTTGGTGCCCACCCTGGAGTTATAAAGATAATTGTTCAATATAAAAGCAATTGTTCAAGTCTTAGCAGAAGTTAGTTAGAGAATGGAGGGAGAGGAAGAAGGGAGGGAGAAAGAGAAGTAAGAGAACTGGGGTTGGTATCTCTTTCTACCCTGCATCTTTGATCTTTTATCTACTAAAACTCTCAGGAAAATGAATTCTCCCACTTAGGACAAGGACCCAACAAAAAAGAGATGCTGAGAGACCCTTGGGTGATCCTGAGCAAATTTTGATCCTTCTAACTAATCCAGATTTTTTATTTTCGTCCTTTCAGAAAACATCCCCTCTCTCCTAAGTACCTGGGCACTGTATTTTTTTCGACCCTTGTACACTCTTCCAAAGGAGCCCTCGCCAATCATTTCTAGCACGTGGTACTTCTCCATCATCAAGGCTCCAGGATCTCTCAGTCTGGAGGAGGAAGAGCTGATTAAGCTCTGTGGCAATTCCACATACTTGGGAGTCCTGGGAGTGGGGGGCAACACAAAATTCAAATGAGAAGAAATGGGGGGGTGTCAGCCATATTCCTCTCTTACTCTGCCCCCACCTCTCCTGATCCTGACCCCCAACCCCAGACCTCCCTCCTTAGCCTCATTACTAACTGATCCCTGAGCATCATCTGAACCCAGAGCTCACCAGCCCTGCCCCTGCCTCTCAGCTTGGACATTAATCTCAGCCCCAGACCCTAGACTCTTGACCCTGACCCTTGATCCTCTACCGCCTCGGCGGCTCTGACCCCAGAGTCCGTCTCAGACCTCCCCCCATTCCCAATCTCTCCAGCCCCTCACCAGCTCTGACCCTTGACCCCAGGCCCTCCTGGTCCCCCTGGCCCCGGGCCTCCGGGTCTCACCAGCCCCTCAATCACCCCCAGCCCAGGAGCTTGAGCTCCCCAGGCCGTGGGACCCGGGCCGGGCTCCGCCCCCCGCCCACCGAGCAGCACCCCAGGTTGCCTGACCGAGTTAGTCCACAGCGCCGGCAGGCGGACTCCCCGAAGGGGACTTTCCCCTCCCTCTCCCTCCCTCAGAGGCGGCTGGAAGCCCCCGGGCCAAGGCGACGCGGAGGGAGGGCGGGATGGGCCGCTCCATGGAGGCACTTCTGCGGGCAGCTCCGAACCGTCGCCCCGCCGCCTCAGGCCCCACCGAGGACCCCGGCGTCTACGGTCGCCTAGTAACGGCAGCTGTCCGCCGGCCCCTCGGCCCCTCCACCTCCAGGCCTACGGCAAGGTACTTCCGGTTCCGGCACAGGCAGCAGGAGGAGATGGCGGCGGCCGCGGCGGCAGCCGGGGAGGAGGATTGGTAACTGCCGGGGACGCGGGACCTGGCTGGCGGCCGCCCCTGTCCTGGGGCGGGACGGGCCCACGGCCGCCTCCTGGAGGCCCGGGGAGGGTTTGGGGGGACGGAACTCGAAGGCGGGGACACCCCGGGGTCCGGTCGCCGAGCCGGCCCACGCCTCCAGCCTCGTCCGACGGGGTGTCCGCCTCCTGTTGGCCCCGGGCCCCGCGGGAGCCGGCCAGGCCCCCGCGACCCCAGCCGAGCGCCCGGTCCTCCGCCCCAACGACCTCCTGCAGCAGCGGGACCCAGAGCCAGGCCATGGCAAGGGGGGCTCCCGGAAAGGGCGGGGGCCCCCAGACGGGGCAGAGGACTAGGGGGGTCTCTGGTATCCCCCACTCCCACCCTTCCACCGTGTTTCATGTTGGTAGGCATTGACGTTCATGGGGATGCAGGCGCCCCCAAAGCCGAGCAGTGGGGCTTAGTCATGGGATTCCAGCATGGGTGGAGTTGTAGGCACATCTAAACTAATCATCAGGGATCTTGGTGCTATTATTAAATATCTTTGTCTTGTGAAGCTTCAGGCCTGATCTGTGGAGGCTGAACCACAGTCAGCCAGAAGTTGGGCCCTACATGCAACTAAGGTGTTTTGCTAACCAGTTATCCCCTCCCCCTCTTATTTTAGAGGGAGGGAAGTTCTGGGAGATGGGGAGGTGGGAATACAAAGAGGCTTGTGACTGTTTCAATTTTTAACACCCATAGGAATAGGTCAGGACTTAAGGGTCTGTGTAATGTTTTGGGTAACTGGTAATTATGTTGGTGACTACAGTGCTACTGACCAGCATTCATGCTTCTGGTTTAGAGTAATGGTGAGGTGGTAGAATCACAGACTCAGCACTAGAAGCCATGTAATCCAACTGCCTCATGTAAAAAATGTTTACTTGCCCAAGATTACCCAGATAATAAATGACACAGTTTAGAGTTGAACCTATTAACTCTCAACCCAAATCAAATACATACTGAAAGGCCAACTGGTTTGGGTATCTGAAGGCTGGATTCTCATGCTAGCTTTGTCTCTTATCAGCTGTGTGACCTTGGGCAAATCACAGTTTTTCAGGGCCTCTGATTTCTCATCTGTAAGATGAAAGAGTTGGATTTTGAGGCCCCTTCATGCTCTATGATTCTGTTTTTATATTACTCACTCTTGTTTCCTCCCATTTTGAAGTAGGTTTGGAAAAAGAATGACCTGGGACCTAAGAGATGTGTTTGAACTACTGTGCTTCTCAAAACAGCAAGGTCTCTCCTCTAGGGCCCCTGTCTTCCTTGGGCCCTGATTAGGTCCCTCTTTGGGAAAAGGAGGGTCTCCTAATGTTTCTCCATCTTCAGAAAGCTTACAGAAAGACAGCAATAAATGTGATTTTTCTATATAGTTATAGAAATCCCCAGACCTGTAATAGCCATGAAAAATGATCCCCAGCTTGTGGAAAAGGAAGATTGAAAATGGCTTAGAACCTTAAACCAGGCCTTACTGCCAACCCTCCTCTCCAGTACCCTCTAGGACAAGCACCCTTCCTCATGGGACTACAGTAAGGAAGGCTATGGTACATCAGCCATCTCTTTCCCCAGGGTTCTACCCTCTGAAGTGGAGGTGTTGGAGTCTATCTACCTGGATGAATTACAGGTGGTTCAAGGAAATGGAAGGTGAGTACACAGCTGGCACTGAGAAGGGCTTCTGGTAGCAATAAGGGAATGATCTATACTCAGGCCATCATCTAGTCCTAAGAGATTGTGAGAAGTGAAGGAAAATGTTCCTCAAAGAAATAAGGTGATACCTTTGACTTACCATAGGACAGATTCCCTTCTCATTCCTCTAAGGAGGGAATTCTCAACTCACCCCACCCCTTACCCCCAGTTCCCACTCAGTCCCATCTTGGATCATCACAATGACCACCCACAGGTCTTCACCATGGGAAATCTGCATCACTCTGCACCCTGCCACAGCTGAAGACCAGGATTCACAATTTGTCTGCTTTACCTTGGTATTGCTGGTGCCTGCACAGGTAAGGTGCCTATTGGGCGACCACAAATGGAAGAGAAATGCTGGGGTGGGGAGAGAGGACACTACGTACTGATCTGGTTTCTCTTTTCCAGTATCCCAATGAGGTGCCTAAGATCTCTATCCGTAACCCCCGAGGGCTCTCAGATGAACAGATCCACAAGTAAGTGTTGCATTGACCAACATAGGGTAGAAGTAGGGTACATCTCACATAGGTTAAGGGTACCTTAGGGTACCAACATAGGATATCTCTTTTTCTTTTTATTCATTTATTTTGATTTGTCAATAATCACTTCCATAAGCTTTTGAGTTTTAAATTTTTCTCCCTGTCCCTTATCACTTCCCTCCCCAAGTCGGCATGCAATCTGATATAGGCTATACATATACCTTCCTATTAAACATATTTTCACATTAGTGATGTTGTAAATAAGAATTAGAACTAATAGGAGGAACCACCAGAAAGAGGAAACAAAATACAACAGAAGAAAAAAATAGCAAATAGTATGCTTCGATCTGCATTCAAACTCCATAGTTCTTTCTTTGGATGTGGATACCATTTTCCATCATGAGATCTTTGGAGATGTCTTAGAGGATATCTCTTTTTCAAAAAGTGGAAAGGAACCATCCTAACATTGGGGTTGGGTTTTCCTTTCCAGGATCTCACAGGCACTGAATTGTGTGGCTGAGGCTGGATTGGGCACTGCTGTGCTCTATGAACTCATTGAGGTGAGCTGGGCCCTAGGGAAACTTCCCTCCTTTCATTCCAAAGCAGGTTTTAGCCTTGGGTCTAGAACAGAGGTGGGGTACCTGCTGCCTCTAGGCCACATGTGGCCCTCTAGGTCCTCAAATGCATCCCTTTGACCGAATCCAAACTTAATAAAAGTAAAATAATAATAAATGATTATTTATTTAATTACTAGCTAAAATAAATGCTAATAAAAGAAAAAACTTAATAAAAATAAAAATCCCTTTAATAAAATAATTTGTTCTGTAAAACTTGGACTCAAAAGGCTGCACTCAAGGCCGCAGGTTCCTCACCCCTGGTCTAGAACCATTCATTTCTCCTAAAGTCAGTTCAATCTTTTCCCTCCTTTTGGGTAAGACTGGTCCAAATTGATGGAAGTCCTGTTTTAAAAGCCCTCCAAAGGTAGAGGTTCTACAAACTTCTTCATTTGTTTACTCTGCTGTCTTGAAAGCTGACAAGTCTAAAAGACAAATTTTTTTGTCTAACATAATGCTTCATTCATTTCCTAATTTTTCTCAGTGGTGAGAGAAAAGTAGCTCAACAGATGGATCATCTTTATGTCTGAGACTTCAATTTAAGATAGTGTGTGCACTGGTGCTACTGGAGATAGAAAGGAAACAGAGGCCAGTCCCTATACTCAAAACAAAACTTTCTGGTAGAACACACAGAAAATCCATGAAGCAACACTTCGCGTTTACATAAGCATTTTAATATTTACAAGGCTCTTCTCTCACAATGGGGGGGGGGAGGCAAAGAGAGATTCCCTTTCCTTTAGACCACATTGCCTCATACTGTATCTTAGCAACATGAGTAAGAACAAATTAAAACTATCACAGCTCTTGTTTAAAGACTTTACCTCTTTATAATTACCCTTTGGCTTTTTTAATATCTCAGTTCTAGCTACTTTTCATGGGTAGAAAAGCTAAAAATCTCTTAAGAATCCCCACACAGTCACCTCAAGTTCTCTGGAGAAGGCACCAGTCTGAGAGGGATGGATTGTAGGGAGTATTTAGGAGGATGAGTAAATTAGGTTTCTACTTCCCTCCTGAGTCAAGACCTTATAATGTGGCTTTCCACTTTGAAATGAAATTCAAGAGCATTAAGTGTATCATATAAATGGGGATAATCATACTTCTGTACTACCTGGCTCATAGGAATTTTGGGAAAATCAACAAAGTTAATATGTGTGAAAGTGCTTTGTAACCCTAAAGCTACATTATAAACAGGGGCTATTGTTTTGTGTACAAACACTAAAACATTTCAGACAAAATATGACTTTCAAGTTATCTGCCTGTGGGATTAACCATGCTTCTTGCACAGTCCCTGAAGTCCAGGGTCAGCAGTGGAATAGACTAACCCTACAGGGGCAGCATTGATGCCAAGTAGAGAAATCATCAGCTGGGATTAGTCACAAAAGCTTCTTGGGGGAAGACAAGTTTTAAAGCAGGTAGAGAGAACACGGATTAGTCTTTAGACAGGGAAGGAACTAGCATGGTGTGCTTGTATTTAGAACCTTCAAGAGCTGAGGAAGCCAAACCATCTTCTTCAAAGTAGATGTCACAAAGTTCATATACTAAAACTTGTGTGCTTACAAACAGAAGAGTCCCTCAGGCCTTTACATAGAACAGGCTCTCTTTATAGAAACAGTTTTCACAAGCTTTGTTACCACAGATTATAAGCATAAATTAAAGGAAAGGGCTACTACAGGCAGATCCTCTGACAGTAATGAGAAGGGATAGCTTGAAAGCCTGGCAATAAGAGGAAAAAAACTATTAAAAAGCAGGCAAGAAAACCTAAAATCACAGCAGTCTTGGAATTATTCGTTAATAGGGTCTCAGGGCCTCACTAGAACATACTTCAGTATAGTAATTAATGATGACAACAAGTAAAAAAGCTATTTGTCTTATAATTTAAGAAGTATAGAGTGCATTTTAGAAAGTTTTTCCATCCTAAATGATATTTTTAAAAAATAAAATGATGCTTAAAATTCTTTGCTATCTGGAAAACACTGAGAATAATTTATTCCCTGGGGATTCCAGGAGGCTGAGGCTTTGCCCTAAGCAGTAACTGCTATAGATGGCAAGTATATTAATAGCAGAAATGGAGACTCTCTCCAGAGTAGAGCTTCCTAAATGGCAGACTGCTGGAGTATATCCCCCTGGGCCCAACCTTGGGCCAGACCGTGGGGTTCATGAACTCAGTCTGAGTGTTTTCTCTCCCCTCTTCCCCACCCGTTTCTCTTACTAGAAGGGGAAGGAGATCCTCACGGACAACAATATTCCACATGGCCAGTGTGTCATCTGTCTCTATGGCTTCCAGGTCAGTGTTCCTAGAAAGTGGGTGCTGGGGAAGAGGAAAGGGAAGTCTGGGGAGCCTGGCCCCACCATGACTGGCTTCTTCCCCAGGAGAAGGAAGCTTTCACCAAGACCCCTTGTTACCACTACTTCCACTGCCACTGCCTTGCCCGCTACATCCAGCACATGGAGCAAGAACTTTTGGCTCAGAAAGAGGAACAGCAGCAACATCCAGGTTCTCCAGTTGAGCAGGTAGACACTGCATTGGACCCTGCTTCCTTGTTACAAGGCTTAACTGTCCCTAGGACCCTAACTTCAGAAAGGGCCCCTGTTTCTGGGTCTCCTTTAGGGGCACACAAGGATACGGGTATGGTGCTTATTTTTACATAACCTGCATTTCCAAAATATGCCTTTTCCCTTTTCTTTCTCTTCCCAGTTATCCCTTGTAGCAAAAAAAAAAGGGGGGGGGGAACAGTTCAGCAAAACTAATACATATTGAAAAAACTGGACATCTCTAGTGTTCCACAGTCAAGGAAGGGAGAAAGGCACCATCTTATAACCGTTCTTTGGGGACAGATTTTCACCAGCCCTTTTATCTGGCAGGGTGTTGGTGTCCAGTGTCCAGTCTGCAGAGAGCTCCTGGTGTATGACCTGGCCACACTGCAGGCAGCTCCCCCACCTCAACATCCTCTGGTAAGAGGGCCCCACTTACTCCTGAATTAGGAGTGAAGGCATAAACTCATTGAGACATTTCAGAAAGGTAGAAAGGATGGTTTCACCTCCTAGAAATGTCTTCTCCAAAATGGTGCTTCACCTGCCTCTGAAAGAAAAGGCTTTGAGGGGCAGCTAGGTGGCACAGTGGATAGAGTACCTGTCCTGGAGTCAGGAGAACCCAAGTTCAAATCTGGCCTTAGACACTTGACACTTACTAGCTTTGTGACCCTGGGCAAGTCACTTGACCCTATTGCCTAGCCAAAAAAAAAAAAAGGCTTTGAAATAGAAGGCTGATTCTGATGTCTGAACGCTGACAAGAAACAGTCATGGAGAAGCAGGAGTCATTTCACCCTTTCTTTCTCCAGGAGCCATACCAGCCAGACGCAGAGACCTTGAGACAGCAGGAAGAACGCCAGCGGCTCTATGAGAGGCAGCAGCAGCGTGGGGGAATCATAGATCCGGAAGCTGAACGGAACCGGTACTTCATCAGCCTCCAACGGGTGAGGAAGCTGGCCCCTGACCCCACCACACACCTCAGGTGTGCATAGCCACGTGCTGTTTTCAGTGAGGAGGCTTTGCAGTGACAAGGAGGGGATGGGTGATCTTGAGCTGGGGCACTGTACTTGAAGAAACTGTCCTCACTCTACTTCACTTTCCTATTTCCAGCCCTCCCCGGTGGAGCCTGAGGTAGCCCTGGATGCCTCCAAGGGATCTCAGCCACCAGGTGCCCCTGCCACAGACTTGCCCACCCCACAAGACATCCTGCCAGTTGCCCCACAGTATACAAGAGAAAGGATCTCAGGGGCCGGGCCCAGCCAACAAGGGCTGAATGAGCTCCAGAGAGCTGAAAGAGACACCTCCCGGGCATGCCGGACCCCCGGGCAGCAGTCAGAGCAGAGAGACCTTCGGGGAAGTGGGAACTCTGCCCCCAAAGGCTCCAGTTGTACACAAGAACTGCCCCCGCCTGATGGGCCATTCAAAGAGCCCATGGACCTGAAGCCAGAGCTTCAGAGTCAAAGGGTTGAAGGCCTCACCAAGGAGAAGGGGGCTGGCAGCTGGCAGGGGCCCCCAAACCGCAGGAACTGGGAATGTGGTCGCTGGGAACGTTCCAAGGGCCGGACGCCTGGCTCTTCTTACCCCCGCCTGCCTCGTGGTCGGGGAGCTTACCGGCCTAGTGCTCGGAGGGAACCTCCTGCCCTGGAGCCAGAGGAGGGTTCCTAGCAGGAATGTTGGGGGACAGGGAATAATGGGTGGGAGGGAAGCAATAAAGAATATTGGCCCAGCTCAGCTAACTTTCTGCTTGCTGGTGCCTCTGGAAGTAAAGGGTCTAGTCTGTAGGAACTATATCCCGGCCATATTTGTGATGGAAGATGACATGGCAGCCAAGTTGGCAGATTAATTTCCATAAATCCTTCTGTATGTGTATGGAAGTTGTGAGGGCCATGAATGCTAGAAAAAGGAATGCACCTCCAAACTTGTTCTGTGTCCTCAACTGTGGCTGTTTCTATAGGACCTCAGGGTGAATGGGAGTCCCTAATTAGTAACAATATTCAGACAGTTTCTCCCTACCTTTTCCCCCACTCTTAAATACTAGAAGGAAAATTAACCAGAAGAGAGGTGGTGGTGCGATGAATGGTGTTTATTTGTTTGACATCATGCTTGGTGTGGTCACAGCCAGAGCCTCGGCATGCTTCAGAGCCCCTTCAGGGTCATTCTTAAAGAGCATGAAGTGGCCCTGTACCTGAGCAGCACTGAGCTGGCACTGGCATGACAAGGCTCGCTCTGCGAAAGAGTCAGCCTTGCACGTAGGCTCTTCTGGGTAGAACCTCTGAAACATCTGGGACAGCTGCCAGGGTGAACAATAGCCCACGTACTCCTTCAGGTCCACGCGACCTGGACGTACCAGAGCAGGGTCCAGCCTGGAGGTAAGAAGCAGAGCACAGACAGACATGCTGTCATTCTGATTTGAGATAGGGGCTCATCTGAAAAGGGTAGAAAAGGTCTAATTTCTGATTTGCCACATTCTCACTATTTAGCGAGGATCTCTCTCCAATCACCTTCTACGCCATAAGAGGATCGTTTCTGCTTCCTTACCTGTCAACATAATTGGTAGTCATGAAGACAATTCGTGCCTCAGTGGAGGCCACGCCATCCAGGGCATTAAGCAGCCCACTGAAGGTCAGACGTCCAAGTCCTTGGTACTTTGCAGGGTCTACAGCAAAACAGAATCATTAAAGGGTAGTCAGTCGGTGTGGTTTGAAGTTTGGGGGGGGAGGGTGGATGAACTAAGAAGTAGGTTAGAACCTGACGGCATATGGATGACAAAACTAGGACCTCATCCTAATGAAAGTCAGCCCATAGGAGGCAGTAACTAAAGGGAGAGATGAGGGAGTAAGGCATCAATCCCTGGTCCTCCCCACCCTCAATGTCTAACACTGACTTTCTTTTGCTAAGTCCCGGCTGAGGAAGGCTGCATCTACATCCTCCAGTAGCACGAGGCTCTGCTGTGGGGCCACACTCAGCAAGTGGTTCAAGCGGTCATCAGAGAGACTTGAGTCGGTAAGGCTAAGTAGACAGATGCTGTGCTCCAGTTCCCCAGCCAGAGCTGTGCTATGGAAAACAGGAAGAAGTATAAAGCCATGGATTATGATCCACCATTTCTCCCCACCTCTTGTCAACTTTCCTACTTCCTATTACCAAACCCTAGTTGATATTTCTGGAGTCTCTTTAATCATCTTGGGTCCCTTTCAACTCTTTTTCTAAACATATTCCTTCCAAGACAGGAATAAGGAGATTGAAGGAGATGGAGATCTTCATTCTACTCACATAAAGCTGCTCTTTCCACAGCCAGGGGGCCCGTACAATAGGTAGCCACGCCGGTAGGGAATGCCTGGGAATACAGCCCGGGGCAGCAGGGTCAGGACCTAAAACCAGTTGTACAACTTCCAAGATTTGGATACGCTGAGGAGTGAGGGCCAAATGGTTTGACAGCTACCCCAAAAAACACGTCCCCCCACCCTGTCAGCCCTCAGCCCTGGAGCAATGCCAGCGTTATCACACCTCCCAGAACCTGACCACAGAGTAGTGGGAAGAAAGGTGCAGGAAATGAGCTGAAGCTAACGCCTGGCCAGTCCCCTAACCTCTCACCTCTGTCACTGTACCACTTGGGGTTATTGATGAATTCCCGGATATCCTGGATGATGCGCTCAGCCAAGCCCTTATCCAGCACCACAGATCTGAGGGGTCTGCGTTGTCTAGGATGACCAAACGGTCTCCACTCTGAGCCCATCGCCGTGTACATCACCGTCTTCCCCTCTTGTTGCTGGAGGGCCAGCTCCCGGGCTAACAATCGGGGAAAGAAAGAAACTTGGAAAATAGTTCCTTTCCTTGGATACTTGGTTTCTTAGGCCAGAGGGGCTGCTGCTTTTACCTCTTGGTCCCTCCTCCAGGACCAATCCCCTTCCCACATAAAATCTGAAAAGATGGACACTGCTGTACGCTACCTTCTTTCAGGATACTACAGAAAATTGTGCGATCTGTTCCAAGAGCAGTGAAAGTGACGGACTCCCAAGGAGTGCCCGTCTGCAGGTCAATCATTTGTTTCTCCCGGTTTCGCTCCACCCGGATCCATTTGCCCTGGTACCTACAGGGGATGCAGAACCCTGAGTAAAGGCCTGTCTTAGCTCCATGTGGACCAAGTCTCCCTCATCCCACTGCCCCCCCCCCCACACCTCACCAAATGAAGTGGTTTCCTGGGCTAGGGACAAAGTCGAACTTGGTGGTTACGTGGCCGCTCTCATGCTGCAGGTACGAGGTCTCCACGCTCAGGTGCTGGGTACGGGAGCCGTGCCGAGACAGCCAGCTCAGCAGCCACGTGTAGCTGCGGTCCCGGCCCGGGACCTCCAGGGTGATCATGTAGTAGCGTCGGAAGGCCACCAGGCCCAACTGGGCACCCTTCCGGATCAAGGCCAAGGCTGTGCCCACACCCACCAGCCCGAAGCCAGCCCCAAAGTATGGGTTGTCCTTCAGGGCCAGCACGAAGTCTGACAGTGGCATCGTGGAGGCCTTCCCTCACGGGACCTTCAGCATTCCTGAACCTGGGGATGGAGAGAATGGATCCATGGTGCGATTGGGGAGACAGCAGACTCCTGTTCCCCCTTCCCAAGATGCAAGATTACACCTGTGCAGGACCCCTGCTCCTCCCCCCCCAGATGCGGTCACACCTGTGCAGGGCCTCTGCTTTTCTTTTCCCCCTCCCCAGATGTGAGGTCACACCTGTTCAGGGCCCCTGCTCCTCCCCCCAAGATGCGAGGTCACACCTGCGCAGGACCTCTCCTCCCCATTCCTGAGGTGCAAGGTCACATCTGTTCAGGGCTCCTACCTGGGCTCTAAAAGAGACCATGGAGGGGGTGCTGCTCCAGCGGGGACGCCGAGGTCAGCCCCTCCGTTCTACGGCTGGGGAAAGTGAGGCCCGGCGCGGGAGTGTGTCAGAAGGCCTCTGCAAGGCACGCTCTTATTCCCAGAGGCGCCCTCTGGCCGCGTCCCGTCATGCTCTCGGCGTCCGGCCGCTCTGGCCCGCCGTCTCGATAGTGCTTCCCCTCCTTCCACCTCCTCGCGTCCTCTTCCCCAGGGACAGAGGGAAAGAACCATAGAGTGCGCCCTCCCCCAGCCCCGGGGGCTGGCGGAGCGAGAAAGAGAGGCCTTCTTCTGCTCAGAGCCCCAAAGCCCGCTGGGCCGGAGGCGGTCTCCCATAGGGCGGTCTGACGAGGCCGCTCCTGCCTCCCGCTGACCATAGAGCTGCTGCTCCCGCCGCCCCGGCCCTAAGGTGTGTGACCGAGAAGGGAAGGGAGGTGGACAGGGGAGGGATCGGAGGAGAGACGGCCCAGGCCCGGAGGGGAGAGCACCCTGTGCCCTCCGGATCACCGTGAGGAGGGCCTGGAAAGGGGGGGGGGGGGCGCTGAGAAGCCGGCCCCGAGTCGCTCGCCTTCCCCGGCGTGGAAGGAAGGAGCAGGGGAGCCCCAGCCCGGCCTGGGGGCTCCGGAGCCGCGCCCGCCCTGCCAATAACCTCCTGCGAAGGATACCCCCCGACTTTCCCCCACCACACCTGCCTCCCTCGGCTGGGCTCCGCCCCCAGCCCTCCCAGGTGAGACCCCCAGCCCAGCACGCTGTATGAGACCCCCATCTTTTCCCAGCCCAGCCCCTTTATGTGAGACCCCCATCCCCCCAACCTAGCCCCACTGTGTGAGATCCACATCTCCCCCAGCCTAGCAGAGATTCCTGTCCCCCACCTAGCCCAGATGATGACTCCCCCACCACCCTCACCGGAGAACGCCCCCATCCCCATCCAGCCTGCCCATATGAGACCCCCCATCCCCCCTCCAGCCCGCCCCTCCCAGGTGAGAGCCTCCATCCTGTCCCTCAAACAGAAAAAGGGTATAATGAGCAGGATCAGGGTTGAGAGCCTGACTCCAACCATAGACTTGCCTGGCATCTCTCTCCTAGGGATAGAAATTTGACTGCCCTGAAGAAGGAAGGAACCAGATTGTCAAGGTGGGGTATTCTTTACCTGCTTGGTCTTCTCACCTACAAACATGACTTTCAAACCCCACCAAGGCCTTTGCTGTCTGAATGGTTCATTTTTGTGATTGCTACCATCCACATGCTTATTTTCCAGCGTGATTTCGTTTGAACACTTTATTTAAAAGGAGCAGCATGGCATAGTGGATACCACCACCACTTAGGTTCATATCCTGCCTCTGGATAGACTGACTGTGTGACCTTGGGCAAGTTACTCTTGGCAACTTTCTAAGACAATAAATGGCAAGGTAGCTCCCCATGTTAGCATGGCTTACCACAGGCTCCCTCAGCCTCCAACCTCTGATGTTATTTAGATGACTTAGGTAAACTTAACTCCTACCATTGAATGCCAGTCTTTTAATTTGATAGCATTCTGTAATGTGATGTAAGTTCCATGTGATGTTTGATTTAGATATGAAGAACTATCTCAACTGCCACTTGCTTTTGTATTTCTGTCCCCCAATTTTTTTTGGAGGCAGTTGGGGTTCATTGACCACCCAGGGTCACACAGCTAGTAAGTGTCTGATCCTGGTTTTGAACTCAGATACTCCTGACTCCAGGCCCAGTGTGGCACCTAGCTGCTCCAATGTCCCCACATTTCTTCATGGAACTACATGCTTGTTTATTTTGGATTCAGAAATTGTTAGTAGTTTCTATTCAATGAAATGTCAGTGTCAAGAAGGGTCCCCAGTGCTTTATATCTATCAAGCTACGGAACATCTAGTTTGGTGAACATTTTTTGGTGTTTGTTATCTTGGCTTTATTCTTATAGGGGTTCTGTATTCTTATAGTGCTATGTGGAATTCTATTGTATATAATCCTATGTGTGATACAGGATTATAGACTTGAAGCTGGAAGGAACCTTAGAGATCACCAAGTTCAGGGGTGTTGAACACTCAGCCAACCCAGAGTATAGGCCCAACCAGACTAAAATGTAATTGGGAAACAATAACAAAATACATAGAAATACAATAAACATAGAAAACGTTACATGTTAAAACAAAGTCGATAAGTGGCCTTCAGGGATACAGATGAGTGGCCCTGTTTCTCTCTCAGTTTGATACCACTGATTTTAGTTCAACCTATTTTATTTTGCAGATGAGAAAACCGAGAACCTAAGAAGTTAAATGACTTGTTCAAGGTCACACAGGTAGTGAGTGGGAGATCCTGACTTCAAACCCAGGTCCTCTGACTAAATCTAGTATTTTTTTCACTCTATTCATTCTCCATTAGTAGTCCTGTTGTGTGTAGTTTTTAAAAATTGCTTTTGCTATTTAAAACTGATTATAATGAATAAGAATACTTTTCTGAATTATTCATGTTAAGTAGTACCATAAATATATTGTGATACCCAAATGGGCAACCACTGGACACTTCCAAGTTTACCATCTCCACACTAGATGGCTCATTTGGCTTATTGGAGAGCTACTAAAGTCGATGCGGACCCAAGGAAGAAACTAACTGGACATTTTTGCTTTTTCTCTCAGTTGGTTTACTAGTGTCCCAAGGAAATACAGCAACTATATGGAAAATTATGACTGATACTCTATTGGACCCACAACAAGGGAACAGCAGTAAGGAAATGGATAGGCTGTGCCCTCAGCTATTACTACTGCCCCTACCCCTCCCAGACCGTGGTGTCCCAGGGCCAGTTCAGAGTCCTTCCTATTCTGAGACCCTCCCACCTCTGCCTGCCAACTCAAACTGCCTGCTTGTGGAAGCCACGGCAACAGAGAGCAGTGCAGGAAGCATGGAAATCTTCGTAGAAGCTGTCACTGGAGACTTGTCCCAGAGTGCCCCCGGAGAGACCCCAGGTATAAACATTGTGATTTTTAGAACAGTTGTTAGCCATATTTATAAAAATGTTTCAAGATATGGCCATCTTGGTGGGGGAGAAGGGAGAGAATGGTCAGTAGATGTTGCTTGTGGAATATCTTGAGTCTTAGCTTTATTCTAAGCACAATCTGTTTTCTTGGAGTTTTCTTCTGCTCCCATGTGGATGAGATGATGGTTTCTATCTGGAACTATTCTCTAGGAAGAAGTATTATGAGAGGGAAACTGTTCTAAGACATGTGCCTATGTCTGTACTTCTCAGGTGTACTTTCCCTTATGCTAGATAAGGTTTCCTAGATGGGCATACTTTTCTAGAAGTAATCTAGTTGTGTACCCTCACCCCAACCCACTGACCCAGGTTCTTGGGCAGGTCTGCACCTAACTCAGCCTAGACAGATTATTTGAAGGTGGGAGCTGAACATGTATCCTGAGTTAGTGTGTCCCTTAGCTGCCATCCCCATATTGATCATACTACTCATTTTTAAGAAATTCTGATATCTAACTGCAATACCTTGTGCTATAAGTTTCATTTATTTTTCTTGGTTCTTTCCTCTGCTTAAGATATTACCATGACTTTAAGTCTTGTGATCTATCTCTTCTTCCTCTCAGCTTTCTCCGTTCTCATCTGTCTTCCCCTTCCCTCATGGATCATAGTTTTTTAGTTGCTGTCAGTGCTGTGTATTCTTCTTTTTCTCCTCATATTTCATATGTCCCTCTTCAATTGTGAAACTCAGAACTGGACTTGGGATTCCAGGCAAGTTCTGAGGTCTGACCAAGGAGAGTGGGAAAATGGCTTTTTAGTTATATCTGCCTGTGAAGATGGGACCATATGGTCTCTGTCTTCTCTGTTCCCCCTTAGTGTGTAACATCATTAAGCCAGACTTCCAGCTAGCTCCTCAGTAAACATTTTGTCAAGTGAATGATTCTGTATGCCAGGATCTGAAGCTGGTTCTCAGCCTTCCTCACTATGCTTAAGCTCTTTGTCTCCTCCCTTTCTCTCTCCCTGAACTTCTGTCTCTGTGCCATCCTGTCTGCAGGTGTTCTGGTGAAGGTGATGAAGCTGTACTTTTGTGAAGGCTGTGAGCAGAGCTTTCCTGAGCCCGCACTGCTGGCCCTGCACCATTGTCCCAACACCATATTGCAATCCAAGGGCAGCCTCTCTAGCCCCCAGCAGTCTGAAGAGCTGAACCCTGGGGATTCCATCCTCCCCAAGCCCCTACAGGGGCACAGCCCACCAGGTGGGAATCCCCTAACATGCCCATCATGTGGGCAGGAATTTACCCAGCCACAGGCCCTGAAAAGCCACTTCACGAGCCACCAGGTCGCCCCTGAGGACTTTTCCTGCTCTGAGCCAGGATGCAGGTTCTTTACTAGAGAACGCAAGGGGCTACAGGACCACCTACAGCAGGCCCACAGTTTGGTCCCCGTGCCCTGCCCCTTTCGTGCCTGCCCCTTGCTTTTTGGGAATCAGCAGGGCATGGAACTTCACCGCCGCTCCCATTACCCCTTCCAGTGCAGCCACTGCAGCTACATGGGCTCTAATGCCAAGCTGTTCTGCCAGCACCAGCGGAGCCACCTACCTGGGGCTCACAGACAGCCAGCTCCTAGTCAGCACCCCTCTTCTCAGGAGATGCAGCCAGGTATGGGGCAAGAGGTCAGTTTCCCCACTCTGATTTGAAGGAGATTAGCTTTGTGGGCTTTGGTTCTAATTTCCAGCAGGAAAGATGGCTGCTGGGTTCCTTCCCCCTGTCAGTTAGAATAATAGATCTTATCAAGAGCAAGGTAAAGGGGTTCACTCTTGAAATAGGGGAGTAGTTTAGGGATGGGTAATTGAATAGCACACCTGGGCAGAAGAATCCAAGGTCTTCAGGAAGAAAAAAAAAACCCAAACATTAATTCCTTTTCATTAATTTTCCTTCCAAAGGAAGAATATATTTGGCAGAGTTGGGTGGGTAGCACAGAACTTTCTTGAGCTTGGAGGTGACAGGAACCTGGAAGGTGGAGAGAAGGAACAGAACCTAAAATTCGGAGTTTCCTTATCTGTCACTGACCATGTCTTCTTCTCAGTGCATAGGCTGCAGAGAGAGCATGGCTGACTCTTGACTTTGCAACTGAAGAGGGATGAGACAAACAGGTTTAAAGGTGAAAGCCTGGTCTCAGGCTAAAATTGGGTTAGGGTTTCCAGCTGAAAATGCCTGAATAGGAGGAATTACAGGCCAGCATTGTGATCTTAGCCCCCTTGGGATCCCTGGGCCAAGGGAGAAAGGAAAAGGTCTCTATCCTTGGCCTTGGAGCTATAAGGAAGCTGAGGTCTGATTCCTCCCCCTTCCCCCTCATTTTATAGATGAGGAAAATGAGGCACAGAAAGGAGAAGTGACTTTCCCAACGTCTCTCAGGTCTTAAGAAACAGCCCTGGGATGAAAGCCCATGTCCTCTTACTCCATATCAAGTGTTCATAAGGGCGGCACCATTTAACTTCTGTGTGACTTTACCAGGTTAAATTTGTTTGCAGCAACTGAACGGTCCTCAGGTGAAGGGAAACTTTCTGAAGGAGCGGGTAGCTCCCTGCCTGGTAGGAAGCCAGTGGAAGAGGAGGAGGACAAAGAAGAAAATGGAAGGGACCTTCTGTCTCCTGAGGAGAAAGAAGAGAAGAAAAAAGAAGATGAGAGTGAAGCCAAGGGTGGGAGCAGCAAGAAAGTCCAAAAGACACGAAAAGGGACCCGGCAATTCAAAGGTGACTTTATTAGCCCTGGTAGTGCTTTCAGGTTTACAAAATATGGTTTATCTCTGGAGTCTTCTTCACAACAACCCTTCGAGGTAGGTGTTACTGTTGTCAGATTTTACAGATGAGGAAACTGAGGCTGAGAAAGGTTAAGTTTCTCAGGGCCACTCTTGCAACTAGCAAGTACCTAAGGCAGATTTTTTTTTTTTGGCTAGGCAGTGGGGTTAAGTGACTTGCCCAGGGTCACACAGCTAGTAAGTGTTATTACATGTCTGAGACCGGATTTGAACTCAGGTCCTCCTGAATCCAGGGCCAGTGCTCTATCCACTGTGCCATCCAGCTGCCCCCTAAGGCGGAATTTGAACTCAGGTCTTCTTGATTACAAGTCCAGTCCATTGTGCCACTTGAACTGCTCCGGGGTGGAATCCAGGATCCCCACACTTTATTTGAGTAAGTTTAATGGTGAGGGGCTTTGTGGCATCTGAGTTGGGTTTTGTTTCCAGCTGGAGCAGGGCTACAAGTTTAACCATCGGGGTGTTACATTCTTCTCCAGCTTGCCTTGTCTTCTCTGGAAGGGTATGTGGTAGCTATGGAAATGGGATTAAATTAGATTGTTTATCTTGGACTAGTTTCCTGCAAGTAAAAAGGCTGCCTCCTAACTAGAAAAGATAGCTCTGTGTTAGAACAGTTTTAAAGAGCTCGTATCAAACCACCGAGTATTGTCCGGGCTGGCCTCGGCTCCATTTTATCCCAATTTAGAACAGCGGCATTTAAAACCTGCCCTTCAGGGAGCCTGTCCTGAATGATGGATGAATACCGGAAATACTACTATTTCCTCTAACCCCCTCTCCATTTTACAGAACAAGATGATACCATTTGGGTTGTTCACACCCTTTTACTTGTGGCTTCCTGCTTCAGACTAATTTTCCTTTTTACCAGCACCTCTTCCCTCCTTGTCTTTATTGGGACAGCTACAAGGAAAATAAGTGAAACTGTGCTGTTTAATGGGAGGCAGCCGGTGGTTCAGTGGGAAGAGCACTATGCCTGGAGTCAGGAAGACCTGGGTTCAGATCCACACTTGGACATCTCCTAACTGTGTGACTCTGGGCAAGTCACTTAACCTCTGATCCTCTGACAAAATGGATCCACTGGGGAAGGAAATGGCAACCCACTGTAGTATCTTTCCCAAGAAATCTCCAGATGGGCTCACAGAGAGTCAGACGTGACTGAAAACAACAACACTGCTATTTGTTTGTTTCTTTCCACTGGCTTAGAGAAAGGCATAGATGGCTGGCTTATCAAATTAGCAGAGGACTCAAAGCTCGAAAGGATTGCTAACTCCTGCCAGAATCAGGTTTCGAAAAGACCTGAACAGGGCAGAACCTGGGCCAAATCTAATAAGATAAAATCTAGTTTGGATTTCCCGAAGCAACTTACCCCTGCACGTACTAAATGGAGGTATGGCTAGATGGCAATTCATCTGAAAAAGATCTGGGGGTTTTAGTGGACTGCAAGCCAAGAATGGATCCATAGTTCAATATGACGACCAAGAAAGCTCGTCTCATCTTTGGCTGCATTAGGAAAAGCATCGTGTTTTAGGGGTAAAGAGGTGTGATAATTTCTCTGTCCACTCTCCTGATTGGACCACACTGTTCGGTTCGTGTTCAGTTTTGGACAGTTTCAGGACAGATATCGATGAGCAGGAGAGGCACTAGAGCAAAGCTACCTGGGTAGTGAAGAGCATTCTTTCATGCCATGGGAGGACTGCTTGAAGGTACAAGAGATGTTTAAACTAGGCAAACGAAGCTTTGGTTTGGGCAAGGGAGAGACGTGATAGTCTTCAAATATCTGAAGGGCTACCATGTGCAAAAAAGAGAAGGCTTGTTTGGCTTACCCCCAAGAGGCAGAATTAGGAGCAATGGGTGACAGAGGTACAAATTCAGACTTCATGGAAAGAAAAACTCCACTCCAACAGTTTAGAGCTACCAGTAAGCGGAATAGGCTCTGGGGGAGGTTATGAGTTCTCATTCACTGGTAGTTGTTAAGCAAAGCTGGGGGACCATTTGTCAAGCAGGTTGTGGAGGGGGCCCTTTTTTTTTTTAAGGCAGTTGGGGTTAAGTGACTTGCCCAGGGTCACACAGCTAGTAAGTGTCAAGTGTTTGGTAAGAGGCCAGATTTGAACTCAGGTCCTCCTAATTTCAGAGCTGGTGCTCTATCCACTATGCCACCTAACTGCTCCAGTACAAATCGGGGGCCCTTTTTCAAGAATAGGTTGGACTGTATGACCTCTAAGGCCCGTTTTGTATCTGAAATTCTGTTCCTTTTGTGTGGTTCTAGGAAAAGTTTTTAAAGCAATGGAATGGGCAAGGACGAAACTATTATTTGTCTATTATTTGACTGATTGATTTAGAGGGGTGACAAGTCTTGGAGATTTTCTGGGGCTTGTGTTCCTTAACATCATCAAGAGTTAATTGTGTTTTCCTGAAGGGTGTACTGTCAGTTTAGTTACTGTTGTCTCTCTCTGCCCTTTCTCCTCTGAGTCTCAGTGCCCCGACCCTGTACTCCACCCTCTTTGAGCTGCTCCTGACTCTCTCTGTCACCCTCCCCTTCCCAGGAGATGTGGCTGCTGGCTCTGAATCCTTGTTCAAGACCCACATGTGCCCAGAATGCAAGCGTTGCTTCAAGAAGCGGACCCACCTGGTGGAGCATCTCCACCTGCACTTCCCAGATCCCAGCCTCCAGTGTCCCAACTGCCAAAAGTTCTTCACCAGTAAGAGCAAGCTCAAAATTCACTTGCTTCGGGAGCTGGGTGAGAAGGCCCACCGCTGCCCCCTGTGCCACTACCGGGCCGTGGAGAAGAATGCTCTGAACCGGCACATGGCAAGCATGCATGAGAATATCTCCAATTTCTACTCGGATGTCTACACATGCCCTGTGTGCCACGAGGAATTCCGCCTCAGCCAGGCTCTCAAGGAACACCTGAAGAGCCACGCTGCTGAGCCCACGCGCCTGCACTGCTTCCAGGAGGGCTGCAGCCACGCTGCCCCTGACCGGAAGGCCTTCATCCGGCATCTCCGGGAGGCCCACGGGGTGCGAGCGGTAGAGTGCCGGCACCACTCCTGCCCCATGCTCTTCGCCACGGCCGAAGCGATGGAGGCCCACCGCAAGAGCCACTATGCGTTCCACTGCCCACACTGTGACTTTGCCTGTTCCAACAAGCACCTATTCCGCAAGCATAAGAAACAGGGGCACCCCGGCAGTGAGGAACTGCGCTGTGCATTCTGTCCCTTTGCCACCTTCAACCCTGTGGCCTACCAAGACCACGTGGGCAAGATGCATGCCCACGAGAAGATCCACCAGTGTCCCGAGTGCAGTTTTGCTACTGCCCACAAGAGGGTGCTCATCCGCCACACACTGCTCCACACTGGTAAGGCTCCTCCTCCCTCCTGTTCTCACCCAGTTTTAGGGTAGTCTTCTAAGCACTTTAGGGGGGAGCGTGGAGAAGACCATCTCCATCTGGGTTACTAAAGGTTTCTTCTTAAAGAGGCTGCAAATAAGGTGTCAGTGACCTGGAAGTTGTGGTTCCACTCACTGTCATCCACACTCTGTCACTTCCATGCTGGCTTCTGGGAATGCCCAGTTTCTTAGCCCACCCAGTGGAAAACACAAACCCCAATTTGTGCTCTATTTGTGAATATATCAATGTGCCGAACTTGGTTTAAGAGTACAATATTTGGGCATCTTGAGTTTACTAACTGTCCAAAAAACCCTTCATTTATATAATCTCCTATGCCTAAGACTTTTCATAATAGTCCCAGGGATCTTGAAGGTGGTATAATTTATCTCCTCTGCTCCTGCATCCTTCATTCAGACCTAAGAATTGATGAGTCTGAGATTCTGACCAGTTCCAAAAGTTTGCAGAGCATGTGTGCTAGCTAATAGTAAAAAGAAATTGAACAGAAGGCTCTGATGCCAATTCAAATTATCCCACTTTTACTTTCTTCCCTTTTCTGCAGGGCTCGTTTGTCTTTGTTAAGCTTGTCTCTGATAGATTGTGGGGTTCTGTGGCTCTCTGAAGCTGGCCCATAGAAGTTGGAAAAGAGGGTGGCTAAGGACAAAAGACAGTGTTGGGAAATGTGACTGTAATTGAGACTTAAGTCTCTCCCTTGGACACCGTGAGCACCTGGACCCCTATCCAGCGTCACAGTGGTTACAAGGGGGAAGCTGCCTTTTACAGGAATCCTGCACAGAGGCAGTGAAGGAGGCAGAGGACAGGGGACAGCATGGGGCCCTTTTTCACCCTTGCTTTCTCCCCCTTTTCCATTTTTGCCCAAGGAGAGAAACCCCACAAATGTGAGCTGTGTGACTTCACCTGCCGAGATGTGAGCTACCTGTCCAAACACATGCTGACCCACTCAAACACCAAGGATTACATGTGCACCGAATGTGGCTACGTCACCAAGTGGAAACACTACCTCAGTGTGCACATGCGCAAGCATGCCGGCGACCTCAGGTGTGCACCTGGTGCCCTTGTGCAGCCTCAGCCCTGGTTCATACTCTGACACAGACAGGCTCTGCCCCCGTCCCCTCGCCCTCAAACCTCCTCTTCCCTGCTGCTTCCCGGCGTTGGTCCCTTTGTCCTACCCTCCGTTTACTCTTGACAACTTCTGTGTATGAGAGTGAGGTTCCACTATACGATCCCTTCACCCTTCCTGGACCTGGCTCAGGAAATGCGCGTGAAGCTGAACACCTGTCCTCGTGTGCCCAGGCCCATGTCCACATGAGCCCATCCTTCTTCCCCTCAGACTCAGCGAGAGGCCCTTCACAGGCCCCGTCGAGTCTGGACTTGGAAAGGGGAGGCGAGGCTGCATCTAAGCTGTCCCTCCTTTCTCTCTTCTTCCTCCCCAGGTACCAGTGCAACCAGTGTTCCTATCGCTGCCACCGTGCCGACCAGCTGAGCAGTCATAAGTTGCGCCACCAGGGCAAGTCCCTAATGTGTGAAGTGTGTGCATTTGCCTGCAAACGCAAATATGAGCTGCAGAAACACATGGCCTCCCAGCACCGCCCAGGAGCTCCAGCCCCCCTGTACCCTTGTCGATACTGCAGCTACCAGAGCCGCCACAAACAGGCCCTGCTGAGCCACGAAAACTGCAAACACACGCGCCTGCGAGAATTCCGCTGTGCCCTCTGTGACTACCGTACTTTCAGCAACACCACTCTTTTCTTCCACAAGCGGAAGGCCCACGGCTACGTGCCTGGGGCCCAGACCTGGCCGCACGGACATGCTAGCCAAGAGCAGGATGGCACCAAACAGTGCCCAGCTTCTCTACCAGGGCCAGGGGCCTCAAGCCAGTCCTCTCCCCAGGAGGAGGGACAGTGCCCACAGCCTGTGGAGTCAGTCGAGTCCAGCTTTAACCAAGCGTTGTCAGAGATTCACATGGAGAAGGGAGAGGGAAAAGGAGGAGAAATTAGTGCCCCCCCTGAGGATAACTTTGTGGGGCAGTCTCCCAGTCCTGCGGAGGTGGATGAGGATGGCTGTACCCTGCACCTGGAGGCATTACGTGTTGAGTTGGAGACTGCCTCTGGGCCTCCCCCCCCTGAAATGACAGAGACATCCCCTATGGAATATGGGCATCTGGGCGCCTCAGAGGAGCCAGATGGCACATTGGAGGCTCTGCCTGGCTTTGAGGAAGAGCCAGAGCTCCCAAATGGCGGTCAATCTGACTTAGGATCTGTGAGGGAACCTGTGCTAGAGAAGTCTGCCCCCAACTCCCCTAGAAACCCCTTATCCTCGGATGACCCCCCTGCTAATGTAAAGCGACCCTTTGAGCCCCCTCCGTCCCCTGGGGCACCAGCCCTGTCCCAGCTCCCGCAGTCAGAATCAGTGCTCAAAGCACTACGAAGACGGGACAAAGAACAGGCAGAAACCCTGGTACTGGAGGGGCGGGTGCAGATGCTGGTGGTGCAAGGGGAAGGACGGGCCTTCCGCTGTCCACACTGCCCTTTCGTCACCCGCCGTGAGAAGGCACTAGGGCTCCACACCAAGACTGGGTGCCAGGGCCGCCGGGAGCCCCTCCTTTGTTCAGGATGTGGGGCCAGCTTCAAGCAGCAGCGTGGGCTGAACACCCACCTCCTCAAGAAATGCCCTGTCCTGCTCGGAAAGAATAAGCCTTCGCTCAAACCCAGCTCTCCTGCCCTTCGGGACTCTCAGTCTATTGTTACTGTTGCCTTGGAGAATATGAGTGAGGAGATGCCCTGCTCTGCGACCTGGGAAGCTAAGCTGGTGCCTGCTGAGGATCCCCCTGCTGAGCCTCCCCTGTCAGCCAAGGAAGGCAGTGAGACCCGGGGCCCCCCCTCTGACTCGTTAGCCCCGACAGAACATTCCACGCCCGAGGCATCACCTGCGGAATTCCACTTCAAGCAGGGGAAGTTCCATTGCCGTGCCTGCCCATTCCTGTGTTCCCGTCTGTCATCCATCACTTCCCACGTAACCGAGGGCTGCCGGGGCCAGAGCTGGGGCAGCAAACGTGGGAGCGGGACCTGTCGAGCTGAGCCAGGCCCAAGCAGCGGGGAAAAGAGTGGGCCGAGAAGTAACCGGGAGGAGCCAGACCCAGCTGGGGAGGATCGTGCCCAGGAGCCCCAGAAAGGGGCCCGGTTCTCCTGCCCCACCTGCCCTTTCAGCTGCAGGCAGGAGCGAGCTCTCAGGACGCACCAGGCCCGGGGCTGCCCCGGGGCTGAACCCCGAGAGCTGCGCTGCAGCCTCTGCCCCTTCACTACTCGAGGTCCAGCCGCTCTGCGGCTCCACCAGACGCGGCAACACCAGGCAGCCCTCGCACCTTCCCCTGCCCCGCCAGTCCCCCGAGGTCCCCGCCCCCTGCTACGGTGCCAGGATTGCAGCTTCACATGCAAGCAGAGCCGATGCCTGCAGCAGCATCGGCGGCTGAAGCACGAAGGAGTGAAGCCCCACCAGTGCCCTTTCTGCGAGTTCTCCACCACGCGGCGCTACCGCCTGGAAGCTCACCAGTCTCGGCACACGGGAGTGGGCCGCATCCCATGTGGGTCCTGCCCCCAGACTTTTGGTACCAACTCCAAGCTGCGCTTGCACAGGCTGAGGGTCCATGACAAGACGCCCACTCATTTTTGCCCACTCTGTGACTACAGCGGCTACCTGCAGCACGACATCACCCGACACGTTAATAGCTGCCACCAGGGCACGCCAGCCTTTGCCTGTCCCCGGTGTGAAGCCCGCTTCAGTTCAGAGACAGCGCTGAAGCAGCACGCGCTGAGGCGACACCCAGACCCTGCGCCTTCGGCGCCGGGCTCACCCGCTGAGGCCTCCGAAGGCCCTCTGCACTGTCCTCACTGTGGCCTCTCTTGCCCCAGCCCTGCTGGCCTGCGATGCCACACTCGCAAACAGCACCCCAGGCTGGAGTGCAGTGCGTGCCAGGAGGCTTTCTCCAGCCGGGGAGCCCTAGAAGAGCATCGGAGGCAGCAGCACTTCAGCCACCGGTGCCACCTGTGCAGCTTCGCGGCGCGGGAGCGGGCCGGGCTTGTGAAGCACTACCTGGAGCAGCACGAGAAGGCGGGCACAGGGGATGGTGGGGCTGGGGGGCCCCCACTGCGCTGCCCCTTCTGTGACTTTGGTTGCCGACACCAGCTGGTGCTCGATCACCACGTGAAGGGGCATGGGGGAACACGGTTGTACAAGTGCACCGACTGCGCGTACAGCACCAAGAACAGGCAGAAGATCACTTGGCACAGCCGGATCCACACTGGGGAGAAGCCGTACCGCTGTCATCTCTGTCCGTATGCTTGTGCTGACCCCTCCCGCCTCAAGGTGAGGGGCTGGGCAGGGGTCCTCTGGCCATTGGGGTCAAGGTGGATGGTTGAGAGGTTAAGGTTGGAAGAACAGGAAAGGGGCTGTCTTTGATGGTCCATCATGTGCATTGCCTGGCTGGAGGCTCAGGGATGATGGTGCTCTCCTCTAGTCCTTGATGATCCATTGGTGAGCTCAGCTGAACCTGGAAATCTAGAGACCAGGGCTGAAAGGGGAAACTCCAGACCCAAGGTGTCCTTCTCTGTAAAGTAGCGAGGGTCGGGCTAACTTGGGACCTCCAAAGCCTGCATCCTAAGATATGGGGGCAGAGACAGGGTATGACAAAGGGCTAAGTGGAGGAGCCACACTTTTACCTGTCGTTCCCAGCTCCCAGGAGCTGTGATTGAAAATGCAAGAGAAGGGGTTGGGGGGCCCTAGGGTGCACCTCATCCATTCGTTCTGTTGTGCTGCTTTTCTCCCCATCTCCAGTACCACATGCGAATCCACAAAGAGGAGCGTAAATATTTGTGTCCCGAGTGTGGCTACAAATGCAAGTGGGTAAACCAGCTCAAATATCACATGACTAAGCACACAGGTGAGTCTGGATTTTGTGAGGAGGAGGTGGGTTAAGGATCCCCTGTGGTTCCCTTAGCCTCACTGAGGCAGCAGGCCTGCCAGGACTGGAGTGACTTAGGAGAGGGCCACTTGGCTCCTGCATGGAGGTGGCATGAGTTATTCTGATTCAGGAGAAATGAAAAGGCAAATCATCATGTCTTTCTCCCCCGAGATAGAATATAAGCACTTTGAGAGCAGAGATTGTATTATTTTTTAATCTTTGTATCTCCAGTTCCGTACACACAGCAAGTGCTCAATGAATGCTTATTGATCAGTTGGTTTCATACAGCAGATGGCCATTTGCCCAGCATAGCACTCTTAGACAAATCAGAGGAATTCTCAAGGCTCCTAGGATTTTGTCGATATTGTTTATTTCTTCCCAGCCATCCCCTTTTACCTGTCTTTCTTTTGACTTAGACTAGTATTTATTATTTGTTTCTTTAAAAAAACGAGACTCTGGAGGCTCTCCACAAATGGCGAGTCCTTTGGCCACTTCTTTCTTGTCCTTTTTGGACCCTTTGTAGGTAGCCATTGCTTCTTCTTATCCTGAAGGTGGCAGTTTAGGGACCAGTCAGTGATGTATATTGAATGCCTTTGTGGAGTACAAAGGAAAGAGCAGACATGGTCTTTGCCTTTGAAGAATTTGCAGTCTTATGGGGAAGGCAGGAGAAAAAATCAGAAATCCCCAGAATAGGGTTCTAAGGGTTGGAGTAATGTGAGTGGTCAGAGCTGATGCATCAGCTTTGAAAGCTCCCTGGAGGAGGGCTAAAACTAGGGGGAAAGAGCCTCGTTCAGAACGTGCTTATGTGTAAGCTCTGAACAACACTCTTTGCCCCTTGCTTAGAATCCTCTCTTCTCTGCCCACCCCCAGCTCCTGGCCTCACCTCCCAACTATTCTAGTGAAAGGCTAAAAGTCCAGGTTAAGCTGTGAGCCACAGGTCGGGGACCTTGGTCTCATGCCTGTACAACTACCAGGCCAGGTGTTGAGGACACATCTCAAGGCAGATGCTTGTCTCGTGGCTGTAATACAGCTGGGTCCCTTCCAAGCCATTTGCCTGTCATGCTGTTTGCTGGTAAGTCACTCAGGACTGGGTACTGAGCTTCCTCTCCCTTTTTTCTCCCCTGGCAGGACTGAAGCCGTACCAGTGTCCTGAGTGTGAGTATTGTACAAACCGGGCAGATGCACTCCGGGTGCACCAGGAGACTCGGCATCAGGAGGCCAGGGCCTTCATGTGTGAGCAGTGTGGCAAGGCCTTCAAGACAAGGTTTCTGCTACGCACCCACCTTCGGAAGCACAGTGAGGACAAGCCGTATGTGTGCAACGTGTGCCACCGAGCTTTCCGCTGGGCTGCTGGCCTCCGCCACCATGCCCTCACCCACACTGACCACCACCCTTTCTTCTGCCGCCTCTGCAGCTACAAAGCCAAGCAGAAGTTTCAGGTGGTCAAGCATGTCAGGAGGCACCATCCTGACCAGACTGACCCCAGCCAGAGTGTGGGCAAAGACCCCACCACCCCAACAGTGCATCTTCATGACGTGCAGCTTGAGGATCCTGTTCCCCTAGGTCCTGCTGCACCTGAAGGCTGAGCCAGGCTTCTAAGAAGTCATGCATCAGGAGACAAGGGCCTGGACCCGAACCAGATACTGGTACTGAGGAGGGCCGAGGAATTGCTGGCTTCGTCACCTCTGGGAGGCTGGGCCCCTCCTAGGGTGGGGCATAGGGTACTATGAAATGTACAGCTGTGTAACAATGACTGGATCAGAGTATGATTTATTACACTTAAGGTGTTTTTAGTCCTCAGGATCCCTAAGATTTTCCTTTAGAAATCCTAAATTCAGGGGCTTGGATTTTATCAATTCTTTAAAGGCCTTTTCTTCTTACGTGTCACATCTTTCACTATTTCATCATCATCAGGACATCTTTATTAAGCATCTAATAGCATATACTTTGTACAAAGCAACTTAAACAGGATGTGATCTCTAGCTTTAGATTCATGTCTGTCTTTTTCTTAACCTATCTTAACCAAGCTGGCACTTTATTCTGCCCTTCCTTCTCAGACTGTTCTCTGAATCCTTCCCATCCCCATTGAAATATAGGAGTTTAGTGTCAGATACGAGACTGACGCAAGCTTTCACTCTTGTCCTTGTCCCTGATCCCTGTCCCCCTGTTTTACTCGTGCCCCTCACCCCAGCTCTGAGAAAGGCTCGGGTAAAGGAGCTTTTAGCAAGAGGGAAGGCCTGGAGCAGATAAACATTGTATTTCCTCTTTTTCCATAGGAATCCCCAGCCCTGAGACACACCCAGAAGCTGACCAGCAGCTTTCAGGAGCTGGAGATGGGGAAAGAGGGCTCTGGAGGTAATGGCCCGCCCAGGGCCTTCCTCCATGATCCAGGAGCCTTAGGTGAGATCTGGCTTCAGGCCTTCTGCATCTTTCTTTCCTTCTTCCTTCCCTTCTGGACCATCCACCCCACCAGGGTGCTTTCCCACTTCTTGCTCAGCACCTTTGTTCCCTCTGCCTTCTCTCCCCACCTCCCAACAAAGCTGAGCCCTGCCCTTCACTTCTGGGGCCCTTCTCTACCTTTTCCTACTCTCCCTATTCCAAAACAAGGACAAGCTACACTCTAGACTGAGTTAGGGGGAGGAGTTGTATTTTGTACAGGCAGGCCTAGGGAGAAGGCCAGCAGGAGATCAGGTCAGACACAGTGCTGTCCAGAGTGCAGGAACCTGGTGGTCCCACAGCCTCTGCCCCAGGGGCCCTGGCTTCTTCTTTTCTTTAGCACCATACTTGTGGCAAAGGATATAGGGCCCGCTTCTGGGTTCCTCAGCCCAGGCTTCCTCTTCATCTCTGGGCTGCAGCATCCTTTGCCCCAGTGTGGGGGTGAGAATCCTAGAGCTGGACCAGGGAGAAGACTACAACAAAAGGAGCAGCTTCCAGGGAGAGCAAGAGGACAGGGATTCTGGTGGCATGACAATAACCGGGAAAGAAGCAAATGGCCGGGGAAGCTGAGACCTGAGAGGAGAGAGGGAGTGATGAGGTGGGCAAGGCCCAGGGAAGAAAGGAGAAACTCCCATCTAATCTGGGAGCCCATTTTTACTCCTAGGAGTACCCCCCCTAGCATTCCCTGATACCTGCTAAGAAAGGAAAGAACCACTCACCTAAACTGCTGATGCTTCTCACTCAGTCTCCGTCCTCACCCAGCTCCTCCCGCATCTGGATGTGCACAAAAATGGAAGCAGGATGGAGACTTGTACCGTCCTTGGAGAGAAGATGTATGTGACGATAACCTGAGAGAGGAGGAAAGACCGGTGTGGGCGTGGTGCAGGAAGAACCCTGTCCCTTAGCTAGGCTTGGGGTCAGGCTCTGCTGAGAGGCTGAGGCTTGAAAGGTTAGACAGGCAGGCTCACCTTGTTGGACGCAGGTCCAAGGCACTGTGTACTGACCAACAAAGTCATTTCTTGATGCCCTGTCATAATCTTCCACCACAAATCGTAGGAGGGCAAGTTCTGGTACTCGCACCCGGAACTGCAGTGTCTGCCCCCAGTAGGGGTTAAAACCTGGTGGGCCAGGAGACAGTGTTGACTACAGTAAATGGAGGTGGGGACGCTTCCCCCTACCTGGCAGGGACTTTATGGGGCCAGTCTTCCTCACCATTGTTCTCCACGTAGCTGGTCTCCTGCCGGGCTGTGTCTCCTGGCACTCCGTAAATTTCTACCCGAACCAGGGGATCCACAATAGAGCCTTCTTTGCTGTTGGCCACCTTAGGTAGCTGCTGCCCACTGATCACCTGCAACCAGACAGTCAGTGGTGCAGAGCTGCCCACGTAGCTCCCCTCAGCCCCTCTAAGTATCTAGCCCTAGAATCTCTGGTGTTATTGTCTAAGGTAGAGTTTGCTAGACTTGAAGTTTCCTTCCACGTAGGTACTTTGCAGTTTAAAACACATCCAAACAAATAAGATTTAAACAACATGTTCACTCCACCCACATTAATCCTCACCACCCTGCCCCACTTCCTTCACACACACTCACGCTCTATTTCCTCATAGTGCCACACCTGAATGAGGAGAGTCAGAGTGGGACTGGGTGGCCTCTCGGGGTGAAAGGAGCTTTGGGGGTCACACAGAAAAGCTGGCTTCAGCACATAGCCACAACCACCGTTCTGACCAAAAAGCCCATCACAAAGGTCCATCTCCAGCCCCGCAGTCTGAATGTTCAGGGCCACTTGATAGGCCAGAGAAAAGGGAGGGGGATCGATTCAGATGGTGGGGCATGGTTCAGTGACCCTCCCCCACCCTAGTCCAGCCTCTCCCCCAGGCTTAGACTGCCCAGTCGGGAGTGCGGTCTCCCACCCCCTAGCGTTTCTGCACCTTTTCACTGTGGGCCCCCTCGCCCCTCACCCATCTGGCAGCCTGCATTCCATAGCTCCTGAGGGCTGTAATTGGAGGAATCTGTCCTCAGGCCGCTGGGATACACCCGACTCAGCTGCCAGGCGTTGTGTTGCACAAATTCATTCCCTGCAGAAGGAGCTGGGAGTGAGGGGCAGTTGAGCTGTCCACAGAACCCCACCCCATCTCTGCTCTTCCCCCAGGACTTGTCTCCATAGGACCTCTGAGTTACTCCGGCTCCACAACTGCTCAGACTCTTCTGTCTCCTTCTGTTTGGCCACCTGCCCCACATAATCTGTCTCTCCCTCCTGTCCTCGCTCCCACCCCCACAACTGCCTTCCTGTCTGTCCTTGGCAGCTTCCCTGTACTTTGGTGCCCCGGTACACCACACCCAGCCCACATCCCCCCTCTCGATTTCACTCTCTCCTTGTCCTAACCGGCCTCCTTGACCAGGCGCCGGGCCTTTGCCTCAGAGAAGGACGACGTCTCATAGAGGCGGTAGTGAGCCTTCGAGTGTGCAAAACTTCGAAATGGAACACTCTTCAGATAAACAACCAGGGCCGATAGGGCTGGGCACAGGGTGGTCTTGGATTTCTAGAGAGAAGAAAGCTGATGGTAGTGGGAATGGGATAGAAAGAAGAGAGAAGAGCCTGACCTGAGATTGAACCATGCCCCTCATGCTAAGGCCCTCCCCACCACCGCCACTAGGATTCTCCTCCCAACCCTTCCCTCCCCACCTCACCTGCTTGGGCAGGAGAGGGGACCCAGACATGGGACCAAGGACCCGGGGCCCGGTTTGACAACACACAGATGGACACAACAGCCGACAGGACACAACCTGGGGTGGGAATGGGGATAAATGCAGCCTGGGTGCCCTAATGGTGTCATTGGAACCCACCATGTGGTCTGCCTGTGCACATTCGGGATTCATCACTTCTCTTGTAATGAAGAGTTAGAATTGGGGGGTGGGGTAGGGGAGAGGGCAGGGAGTGAAAAGTAAGGGGGAGTGTTTCCCTTTTAAAACCTACTGACATCTAAACTTTGTATCCCCCCTCCAGCCAGTGCCTAGCAATGTTCTGCACCTAGGAGGTGCTTAATAAATGTTTGTGGATTTTAAAAAGCCCTTGTCTGTGCTGACTCCCCTTCCTCACTTCAGCAACCTATCTCTAGTTTGCACAGCTAGCCACCTTCCCATACCTGGGAGGCTAGCCCTCTTCTGCCCAGCTGCTTTTCTTCTCTCCCTCTAACTTTTGCTCAAAACACCTCCAGAAAACTCCCTGCCTAACTTCCCCAGACAGCATAATTCCAGTTACCCAATTACAGCAGAAATATCTGTGTTCTCATGCACGTAGGTATATGTAAATGGCCCTCCTTTAGGCTTTCCATCATGCCTGTCATTTCTATAAGTTTGCTGTCTCCCCACAACACACACACACACACACACACACACATTGTAAGCCCCTTCAGTGCACATAATATGCATATAAATGGCCCTAGTTTAGGTTCTTCATCATAATTTCCTAAGTATATTATCTCCCCCCACAACACACACACATACTTTGTAAGCCCCTTAAAGAGCACAGATTTTGCCCATTATTTCTCGGAATCTCCACCATCAGCTGTTGCATAGTTGTGCCATGATAAGTGTCTGGCACAAATCCAAGGGACCCTGCGGCCAGGTTAAAACTACCTCAAGCCCCACTTTCTTTTTCCTCTTGTCCTCGTTTCGGGCCGTCTCATCAAAGTCCAGCACATCAGGCTCCAGTTCTGGCTCGGGCTCCTCCTCTTCTTCAGGCTCTTCCAGTTCCTCAGAGTCCCCTGGAGCCTCCCCAAGCTCCTCCTCAAGTGTCCCCATCTTCTTCCCCTTCAGGAGAATCTTCCCTCGAAGCTCCTGACAGTATGAGAGGAAGGGAATGAGGCAGGACAGGATTTCAGACCTTTCACTATGGAACCAACCTGAATTGCTCTTCCAAGCAGAAGTACGGGTGCATGCATCTGCAGATCACCCCACTGAGGGAGACTGGCTACTCAAGCAGAGTGGGGAGCAAAGGCCTAGACCACCTTAGGGTGAGGATGTCTAAGCAGGAAAAAAGCAAAAAGCACTGCTTTGGAGTCAGAAGACTTGAATTTAATTCAGGGACTCTTCACCTGTGGATAGATTTCAGGGGGATCTGTAAACTTAGGATGAAAATTACAGATTTTCACTAACTTTGGTTCCCCGTTTCATTCATTCTATATACTTTATGTGTTCAAAAACATTCTGAAAAGGGGGTGATAGGCTTTACCAGACAACCAAAAGGGTGTGTGACACACACAAAACAGGTTTAAGAACCCCTGGTCTATGACCCCAAATCTAAAAATCTATGGTCTAAAATCTTAAATCTGATCCATTTATAGAGTCTCCTAGCTAGAGAGATAGGGAGCTAAGTCTAAGAAAAGATGGTACCTAGCAGAGGGTGGGGGAATAAGGATACCCATACCTCTGGTGATGGCAGTTGGGTGGGCAGGAGACCATCCAAGGTGGTATTGAGCAGTCGCTCTCCCAGGATCTCCGTCAGGTGCTGGGCAATGACCTCTTGTTGTTCCCAGCTGCAGTGATTCTCCAGGGACACTATGACTGGGAAGTCTGATGTCTGGATCGGGGAGGCACTAGTGGTTTTAGATACTGGCTCCAGGCCTTTTAGATGACCTCTCCCACCTTCACCTAACACTTGCTAACCCTAAAGTCTAGTTCCTCAGTCCTCACCTAGCAAAGGCTTCCCCAGGTGTCCTTAACCCTTGAACATAGCTGGTCTTGACACTCTTTAGAATACCAAGCTGTCTCAGTCTAAATGCCAAAGACCATTTTCTAGGGGATTATATCCTTAGGCCAAGATTGGTAAAGGCTCTTTAGGGCCTTTGGGGCTGAGCTGGAAGTCCTAGATTTTAACTGTGGAAAGTATGGCACCATTCACCTTATTTCATTCTTTACTTTTTATATTCCTCTACTTAGAGATGACCCTAGGTTCTCACAAGTATGCCAGATGAGCAGAAGCAATGGTTCTGAGTACAACCTCAGCCATAGATTTGGTCTACTTACTAAGTACAGAGAAGAGGCCCACCAGTGTAGGTTGGCTACTAGGTGATTAATTCATTGACCAGGGCAATCTCTTAAACTCCAAGATCTCCATCTCCCTAGTCCTTCTGGCTCCTAGCCCTCTCTCTCCCCAGTCCTCAACTCTTCTTCCCTCTAATCTGTTCCCTCCCTCGCTGCCCCTTAGAATCCACAGTCCCATCTCCTTATCTCCCCACTCCCAATCCCAACCCCAGCCACTCTTTGCTAAGACCTTCCTTTCTTATTCGTGCCCCAGTCTCAGGGTCCACACCTGGAAGGCATACTGGGCAATTGTAGCCACGACATCTTGGAAGGGGATCCGAGAAGTCAGAGTGTGTCCGTGGTAAACAATTGGTTCCCCGCTGGGTCCATCCCATACATCCACTTCCACGCAGCGACATCCCCGCTTCAGAGCCCTGCAGGACCCCTCCAACCCCAAGGGGCATGAAAGGTCAGACAGAGCCTTGCTCATAATAATCATCCTTCACATTTATATCAGGGCTTTGTAGCATGCAAAAAGCTTTCCTTCCCGTTTTTTCTTTTGATCGTAACAACAATGCAGTGAGGTAGGTGGAGCAGGGATTTTTTTTTTAAGTTCTGTTTTAGGGGTTATAGGACATTAAGTGACTCCTAAAATCTACAAGTAGCAGAGCTGAGATTCAAACCCAGGTCTTCAGTTTCCTAGTCATGTGCTAGACTAAAAATGTTTGTTAAACAAATGAATGAATAAATCACCGAATCATAGGATTTTAGAAATAGAAGGGACCTTGGAGATCATCTAGTTCAGTCCTCTAATTTTAAAGACTGGGGTTCCAAGAGGTTGGGTGATTTATCCAAAGTCACACAGCTAGTAAGTAGAAGAGCTAGGATTCAAACCCACATCTTCTGACTCCAAATAGCCTCCCCCCCCTTTACTGAGACCTCCCAAATTCCATGACCATATAATAAAGTTCAGTTAACTCCATGATAGACCACCCATAGGAACTCCACCTGCTCTGTTTTCCAGTCCCCAAATCTATCGATATCACATAGACTCTCTGGTCTCCCCAATTCCCTCAATCTCTCCACACCTCATTCCATCCTCCTCTATGGTCCTAATGACACCTCCACTAGATCCCCTGGGCTCCTTCATGCTATCTCACCACCACCCCATGCTTCACACCGTATGTAGCCTTCTACACTGCTCTGTCCTCGAAGCTGGTCTCCCAGTAGATAAGTGTTGTGTGAGGAGTGAATGAAGTAGTGATTCAGTGGATAGCTCATGTCCTGGTAGACAGGTCGGCAAGCTGGAGAGAAGATGTCTCCATCCCGGGAACAGAGGTAAGCAAGGAAACCATCTATGGTCAGGACATGCCGCAATTTGGCTGTAGAAAAAAGAGTGGTAGATAGGAATATCCTGTCAATGTCTTATCTGAGAATATAGCTCTGCCCTCTGCCACAGTCTTCACCACCCCACCCCACCAGCCCTACACTCCCTAGCTAAGGCTTTAACTTTAGCCATAAGCAAAGAAGGGGACATGTGATTAGGAGAAATAAGCTCAATGTCTGGAAAGTAACAATGACAGTGGGGGACTGCCCTTGGACTGGTGACTGCTGCCTGCATCCCTGAAAGCCCAGTTGGTTGTCATAAGCGATACAGATTGAGGCAGAGTCAAAGAAGCCTCTGGTTTAGGGATTAATTCACCTTTTTTTGTGTCTTAGCCCCCTTGGGTAGTTTGGTGAAGCCTGGGGACCCCTTCTCAAAATCATGCTTTTAAATGCATAAAAACAAAATACATATTTTTACAAAGGAAACCAATTATATTAAAATACAATTATCAAAATATTTTAGAAACAGGTTCATGGACCAGGTTAAGAACCCCTGGATGGGACTAGATGAATTCTGAGCTCCTTCGAATTCTAAGATCTGAGGGAGGGATGAAAATGGGACAATGAAATAAGAATCTCTGAGTATGCATCCCATCAAACTTATCCTCCCCCCCCCACTTGAAAACCCCTGCCCCCATCTATTTCACAAATCATGTTCCATCTCAGCCCCCCAAATCCCGATCAAGAAATGCCCCCTTGTTACAAGGCCTTTCCCATTTAGTACTGCCCGTCGTTCAGTCATTTTCATGTCAAAACTCTGGCCTCCAGAACTTACAAATAGGATGACAATGATCACAACGTTATTAACTCACATTCATATAGCATGGTAAGGTGATGAAAACACAGTGTAGCACAGGGAGGCATCAATGACATCAGGAGCCCTAGATTTGAAGTCAGCGGGGACCTGGGTCAAATTCTGGTTCCTTTCTACATCTATGATCTTTGACAAGTTATTTCTCTTTTCTGGCCCTTGGGGTCATAATTTGTAGTAAAATAGGGCTGTGAGACTAGACAATTTCTAAAGCCTTTTTCCAGCTCTCAATTCTATGAACCCTGTGTAAGAGGTACCTTAGAGGTAGAAGGGACCTTAACAGTCATAAAATCTGACCTCGTCATTTTACAGATGAGTAAACTAAGGCTGAACTTCAGGGTCATAGAGCACAGTGGCAGAACTAAGTTTGTGGGACCTAGGAATCTCCTGATTCCTAGCCCATGGCTCTTTTCACAACATTATCTGTATGGAATGTTATGTCTTCCTATCACATGTATTACTTTGGGATTTTATGAACATCTGTTCTGTCTCTCCCCTTAGCGAACAGGGACCATGTGTCCTTCTATATCTCTCTTCCTCTTTAAATAGCTATTTGGGGTTTATATGAAGCAAGGAGCCAGTGCCCAATGGATTGAAATGATGGCGTATCTGCCTATCATTCTATCTCCCTCCTCTGTCAGTGACATTCATTATGGGCATGAGACAGACATAGTAGGACAGTATGAATGGAACTGACATATTCTGCATCCAGAGGGACACTAGTATTTACTGTCAATTCAATCAATAAATATTTATCAAGCACCTACTCTGTGCCGGACATGGTGCTAAGTGCTGGAGATTTCAAAAAGAAGGAAAAAACAGTCCCTTCCCTCAAGGAGCTCACAATCTGATAGATTTCTGTAACTTGCTGTTCCATCATTCTTCCTTTCACACCCTAAACTTGAAGTCACTCATAGAGATGTATAATTCTCCTCTGCTAGAAGGGAGGGAGAAGATTGGGACCCAGGCCACTTGGATCTAGTGTCCAGCTCTCACCTACCATGTTTCTGACTCTTGCTGTATTCTGACTCCTTCCCCAAAGGAGGATCGTAGATTTAGAACTAGAAGAATTTTAGATATCATCAGATATAACCTCCTCACTTGACAGATAAGGAAGCTGAGGCCCATAGTAGGAAAATAATTGAACAATAACAACAATAGCTATCTTGTGTGTGTGTGTATGTGTGTGTATGTGTGTGTGTGGGGTGTGTGTGTGTGTGTGTGTGTGTGTGTGTGTGTGTGTGTGTGTAAAACGCTATAAGGTTTGTAAAGCACTTTACATATTAACTCATTTTATCCTCACAACAAACCTGGGAAGTTAGGTACTGTTATTATCTCCCTTTCACAGATGAGGCAAACAGAGGTTATGTGTCTCGTCCAAAGTCACACACATAGTCAGTTAGCAGAGTATGAGTTTGAATGTAGGTCTCAGAGCTTCAAATCTAATGCGCTGGACCAAAGAGGGAAGGATCCAGGCTGAGGCAGGGAGACAAAGAAGGTTTGGGGTATAGATTACAAACGAAAAAGTACCATAATCACCAGTCCATAGCAACCCAATGAATCATCACTATCAAGCTCAGGCCAGTGCTGGACTCAACAACTAAAGACAGCTGGGGGAGAATATGGAGAGAATACAGTGGAAAACAAAAAAGACAGTTTAAAGCTGGGAAGTGAAACCACATCATTTATCTTTGAGAAGAGAAGATAGGAGAGTCATCTTGGCGTGATGGATAGAAAGCTGGCCTCTGAGTCGGGAAGATAGAAGATAGGGACTCAACTACTGGCTGGTAGGGTACGCAGTGGATAAAGTGCTGGGCCTGGAGTGAGGAAGACTTGAGTTCAAATTCAGCCTCCGACACTTGCTGGCTATGTGACCCAAGGCAAGTCACTTAACCTCTACCTCAGTTCCCTCATCTGTAAAATGGGTTAACATAGCATCTATCTCCCAGGGTTGCTGTGAAGATCAAATGAGATATTTGTAAAGTGCTTTGTAAACCTTAAAGCACTACATAAATGCTATCGTTATCATCATTATTATTTATTCTGACAATGTGAGCCCCAGTCGGCCCTGTAAGACTGTAAATTGTAGAACAGTTGCTGACCTGCTTTGGTGGAGTGTTTTCTCATCGGGAGTTCTCTGTGCTGATGAAATAACAGGTTTGATCCAAAGTTTAAATTTTTTAAATTGTACAAAGAGAGAAGACTGGAGGTTGATAAGCAGCTATTCTCCCTCTCTGTGGATCATGGAACAAAATAAAATGGGACTGAACCTGCGCCCAGATCAAAGTTAGACACCAGAATCTCCCAACAGCGAGGGATAAAAACAGATGCTTGACATTAGTCAGAGGGCTTGGGTTAGAAACGCTACTCTCCACTTACTACCTTGTGTGACGTTGGACACGTCTCTGCATCTCTAGGGGACCTTAATTTCCTCATCTGCAAAATGAGGGAATTGGTTTAGGTGATTTCTAAGCTTTTTTCCACAGTGGATAGAGTACCAGATCTGGAGTTAGGAAGACCTGAGCTCAAATCCTACCTCAGACACTTACTACCTGTGACCCTAGGCAAGTCACTTCACTCTATTTACGTATTTCATCATCTGTAAAATGAACTGGAGAAGGAAATGGCAAACCACTTCTCTGACAAGAAAACCCCAAATGGGGTCATGAAGAGTCAGATACAACTGAAAATGATTGACAATGAGAAGCTCTTTTCTAGACCTAAATCTGTGTTTCCATTAATGGTTACTGTGGTAATCACTCCTTCCCTGAAGATTTAGTCAGTGTCATGAATCGTGGTTCCCAGAGATAAGATACCATGATCTGGGGCAAGAACAGGGATTTCTAGCCAGTCCAGGGTTAGATAAGAGAGTCCTTGTGAATCTGTGCTTCACTCTCTAGCATCCCACACAATCATCCTGTTCCCTTTCTTTGTCTCTTCCCTCCCCTTCTCCCCAAACACATGTACCGCTGTCTGACGGCTCATAGCGAGCAATCAGTTCCAAGGCGAGGTCAGAAGCCTGGTCTCCCTCTTTCTGCTCTTCACGAAGGAAATCTGCAAACTCCAGCAGCGTCAACTTCTGGCCATCCCCTGAGAGGATTTCAAACAGCTCCAGGATCTCTGAGCGCTGGGTGAGGGCCCGATAGAACTCCACAAATTCCTCGCCTTCCAACATCCCTGACTCTGACTTGTCTGCAGCCTGCATAGGAAGTTGTGGGGACAGGGTTTTCAGGGACCCTGTTCTCCATTCACTCAGCTCTCCAACCAGGCACCAGCCATGAAAAGAGGTTGTGAGGAAATAATGTAATACCAACTCTTTGTCATTTAACTTCTATGTGTCTCATCCCTTATGAAATAAGATGTATATACATCTTGTCTCCAATATCAGTCAATTAGTCATTTATTAAGCATCTGCCATGTGCCAGGAACTGGGGACACAAAAAAAGAGGCAAAAGACATTTCCTGCCCTTAAGAAGCTCACAACCCAGTGATAGTCCAATGTGATATCATTACAAACTCTTTAAGGGCAGGAATTACGCCTTAGAATTAAAATAGATCATGGAATTTAGAGCTGGAAGGGAACTTACACATGATCTAGCCAAGGGATTCCCCCTTGTAGCCCACTATGGAGGCTGTGGAGTTATTGGAAGGATCCTGGGAGTCCATATGTAACTACATAAATAAGCAAACATACCTTCTGCAGATTGAATAATAATGATGATGATAGTAATAAAAGGTCACAGCTAGCATTCAGAAAACACTTTACAATTTACAAAGCACTTTATATACATTATTTCAATCCTCATAACAACCCTGGGAAGTAGGCACTTTGTTATCCCCATTTTACAGGTGAGTAAACTAAGACTGAGAGAGAGTTGAAGTGATTCGCACAGATGTAGTAAGTTTCTGAGGCAGGAGTTGAATTCAGGTCTTCCTGATGATGCTCTATCTACTATGCCACCTAGATGCCTCACACACGTATGGAACGTATATGTATGGCTTTTTTCCAAATGTTAATAATATGTAAGTCTTTGTATCATAATTATGTATATAATTATATTGTGTATATATACATTAATTATTAATACATTTTATATTATATATTATATGTGTTAATATATAATTGTGTATATACAATTAATTGTTAATGGTTAATAACATACAAACTAATTTTAAAGCATCACAAGATTAATAGTCATTTTCAGTTATTCTGTATTTTCCCAACCAATGTATATTCACTATTACTATCATATGGGGGAAGTAGTCTGTAAAATATTTTATCATCAAAAAATGAATACTCTTACCTAAAAAGATTGGGAACCATTGATCTAGCCCAGTTCTACTTGGTTCTTTGTGTGCCCTTCCCCCCACAGTGCCTAGCTAAGTAGATAGACATTTAATAAAGTGTTAATAGATTGAACAACTAATTGATATCAAGAGGTGGCTTGAGCAGTGAAGTTAACCGGCTGATTCCTTTTCATTCCTCCCCTACCAGGACACACACCTGGAAGAGCTGGAGAGCATGCTCAGGGTCCATGTCTACATTCATCAACCGTAGTAATCGCTGCACCTCCCGGAAACTCATTCTACCATCCTGGTCTTTGTCCCCCTGCTGAAACCAATCACTCAGCCATCTGTGTCAGGGTGAAGGAAAACCCATGGGCTGGGTTTGGGGTCTTTTTCTGAGGGGGCTGTGTTTTAGCACGAAGGGCAGATGACCTAAGGAACCTGAAATGATTCCATATCTTTTGACCCTTCAAAGTACAATAATTTCTCATCCCCAATACCCTAATTCTGCCCAGGATCCTTAGCATATCAGGTCCCTATTTGTCTTCTTTGTCCCAATCTTTGCTTCCTCCCTTTTCCTCTTCCTATCCTGAGTGCAAGACATCTCCTACTGCCCTTTTCTCTTGTCATTCACCCTTGGGGTCCCATCGTGCCCAACTCTGTTACTTATGCATCACAGGACATCCTCATGCTGGGCTAAAGTCATTCTCCCTTGGTCTGCCCAGGGTCCATTCCCTTGTTCCACTTCTGTAGCTTCCTTTAGTTCAGGGATTCTTAACCACTTCTTTGTGACATGGACTCCTTTGGCAGGCTGGTGAAGACTATGGACCACTTTTTTCAGAATAATATTTTTAGATGCGTAAGATCTACAGTTATCAAAATTTTTTAAAAATTCACATAGCCCAAATTAAGAGCCCTTGCAGGGGACAGAGGAATGGATGAGTGGATAGATAGATAGATAGATAGATAGATAGATAGATAGATAGATAAATAGATAGATCGATAGACAGACAGACAGATGGAAGAAACAGACAGATGGACCGACAGATGGACAGATGGATGGATAGATAGATGATAGACAAATGGAAGACAGACAGAGGGATGAACGGACAGATGGACAGATGGATGGATGGATGGATCGATGAATTAGATAGATAGATAGATAGATAGATAGATAGATAGATAGATAGATAGATAGACAGACAGACAGACAGACAGACAGACAGACAGACAGATGGAAGAAACAGACAGACAGATGGACGGACAGATGGACAGATGGATGGATAGACAGATGATAGACAAATGGAAGACAGACAGAGGGATGAACAGACAGATGGACAGATGGATGGATGGATGGATCGACAGATGAGACAGATAGATAGATAGATAGACAGACAGACAGACAGACAGACAGACAGACAGACAGACAGACAGATAGATAGATAGATAGATAGATAGATAGATAGATAGATAGATAGATGATGGATGGATGGATGGATATATGGATAGACAAATGGAAGAAATAGACAGATAGATAGACAGATATAAATAGATGTAGCATGCATTAGTATGTGGCAGGTAATGTACTGAGCATACTTCAGCATCCTTAGACACTATTACACTACATACACTCTGTGATTACCTTCTAAGCCCCTCTCCTCATTCCCATCTCAGCCGATTACATCCTAATCCTGGTCCTTGATGTCCCATCATTCCTCTGTTCCTATCCCTGATATCTCATACCATTCTCTGGGCTCCTCCCATATATACTGCTAGTGTCCTCACTGGAAGGATACTGGTCCATTTTCTCTTGCTGGTCCATGCTGGTGATAATCTCCAGCAGGTGCCGAAGCCCTTGCACCCAGCTCTGTGCCTCTTCAATGCTGCCTGCCACCAGGTCCAGGTTGGGGCGGCGCCCATGGAAAACAACGGTGAAGCCATGCTCCAGGGGGATTTCATCCGCTAAGCTCCGGAGCAGTTCTGATTCATGGCCCTCTCGCACTGTCTCCACGTCTGAAATGGAGACTGCAAATGGAGTGGAAAGAGCAAGACAAAGGAAGGGAAGAAGAGTCAGGATTGTTTGTTTGTTTGTCTGTCTGTTTAATTCATGGGCTTTTAAAGTCAAGACTTTGCTGTGAGGTCTCAGAGAATCTCAGAAATGGAAGGGACCCCATAGACCATCTAGCCTAGTGGTCTTTAAACTTATTGTCTTAAGACACTATACTTTTAAAAATATATATATACTTTTAAAAATTATTGAGCACCCCAAAGAGCTTTGATTTACATGGGTTATATCTAGAAGTATGCTGGTAAACGTTTAACAATTGGCTCTCCAGAGAGAAAAATGTACCCATGACACACTTAAGTTTTACACGCAGAATGAACATTTTCTCCAATACTTTCTCAAGTCTGGATGATTAATAAAACAACAAATCAAGTCCTAATTTATAGTTTGCCAATTCCAGAGGTGTAAATATTCACACTGAAAATTTAACAATTGATTCTCTTGAGTTGGCATGAGCTAGCTCCAACACACCACTGGTTATACCTTTCAATATAAAACAGATATAAAAATGGATAAAATTTTAAAATATGCATTAATTCATTAAAAATGATAAACCATTACATGTTAACATAAATAACATTTTTATGAAAAATAACTATATCGTATAAAAAATTAGTGATTAGAGTGGCATTGTTTTACATATTTTTACATATCTTTTTAGTGTCTGCCTTAATAAAAGACAGCTAGTTTCTCATATCTGCTTCTGCATTCACTCTGTTGTGAGATGTTGTTTTGGTTGAAGTAGAAGAAGAAAATGTGGCTTCATACACTTTAGTTGGTAAAGGGAGGAGTACTTTAATAAGCAAATAATGTCTTAGTATTATTACAGAGGGCAGCTAGGTGGTACAGTGGATAGAGAGCTGGGCCTGGAAACTCTTTGTGATTCCATTTGGGTTTTGTTTTTTGTTTTTTGGCAAACTGGAGTGGTTTGCCATTTCCTTCTCCAGCTCATTTTACAAATGAGGAAACTGAGGCAAACAGGGTAAAGTGACTTGCCCAGAGTCACATAGCTAGTAAGTGTCCAAGGCCAGATTTGAACTTAGGAAGATGAGTCTTCCTGATTCTAGGTCCAGCACTCCATCCAATGTGTCACCTAGCTGACCAATATGTGAAGACTCTTGAAAGGTAAATATGCTACAGTTTAGAAATTCTTATTGAGCCTAATTGTCTGATTCCAGTTCTACAAGGGGAGAAAATTAATCACTAGCTTTTTCTGTCCACCAGGGAACCAAATTATTTAAGTCTCCTGAAGACACCTGAGATTAGATCTTATTTTGGTCTTTAAATGTTAAAAGACCTAGAAGACCTTCAGCTTGATGGGTGAATTGCCTATGGAGAATTGTTTTTTGGGGGGGGGCTAGGCAATGGGGTTAAGTGACTTGCCCAGGGTCACACAGCTAGTAAATGTTACATGTCTGAGGTCAGATTTGAACTCAGGTCCTCCTGACTCCAGGGCCGGTGCTCTATCCACTGCGCCACCTAGCTGCCCCGCCTATGGAGAATTTATGAGAGAATGTGGACAAGAATGATGTAAGATAAGAAGGCATACTGGATTGCTGTCTGTACTGCTAGAGGGAATATCCGTAGTAACGATAGAATAGATCTGTTGTTATAAAGTAGTCTAGGCTGTCAGTCAAAAGATGGCACCCTCAAAGTGATCAGATCATGAGATTCTAGAACTGTTATAATGGATCTGGCCAATGGTGTTTATAAAATGTTGGCATTTATTTCAGGTGGGAGTTTGTGGAATCAAATGAAAAAATCATACCACCTTCCCCAAATCCAGCCCCTGCCTAGAAACACAACCATTGTGTCAGGGTTCCCGAGGGGACACGCAGGCACAAATGTAGTCTGTTTGCTCGATGGACTCTTTGGTAGCCCCAGCAGCTAATGCCTAGGTTGGTCCTGCCTCTCAGGGTCTTTTCTCACTTTTCCCAGCATCCTTTTTCCCACAGTCACTCACAGCTAGGTTTGGTTCTTCCACCAGCCTGCCGGGCGTACCAAACGGTCATTCCATCATCCTGGAGTCTGAAGTATCTCTGTTTCTTCCAACTTCGGGATTTGACCTTGCGTAGCATCGACCCATTCTGCATCAACAGCAGATCACCATCCAAAGGCAGCCCTGCAGGAGGGGAAGGCAATGTGACAGAAGAGCTGGCTGGGGGGTTTGACGAGCCCGGGTAGGCGGTTCTGGAACTTCCCCCAAGTCATCCCGGTCACCATCCCGGTCACCATCCCGGTCACCATCTTGGCCACCATCCTGGTCACCATCCCGGTCACCATCCTGGTCACCATCCCGGTCACCATCTCGGTCACCATCTCGGTCACCATCTCCAACACTGTCTCCCGCCTCCCCACATCCTCCTGTCCTCCAACCGGTACTCACGAATGCTGTGCAAGGGCGATGCCATGACCCTCACGACTCCCAGACTTCACAGAAAGCACCTGCTAGGGCGAGAGGGAATGTCAGACATTGGGGTCACCTTGGAGGTCATACACAAGCAAAGAGTCTCAGAGATGGAAAGGACGTCAGAAGACATTGAGTTTAATCCATTCTGGATCAAGGATTTCTTCCATAACATATCCAACAAGTGGATATCATGAAGACACATGAAGATATGATGACAGACTGTGAAATAATCAAACTATAAATCTACATGCATTCATAGACTGTTACAGTTGGAATGGTCCTTAGGAATTACTGAATCTGTAGAAGCGTACAGAACACTAAGACTTTAATGGTGTCACAACTAAGAGGTGCAATGGATAGAGTACTGGGCCTGGAATTAAGAAGACCAGAATTCAAAGCTGGCCTCAGATACTTACTAGCTGTGCGGCCCTGGGCGAGTCACTTAACCCCATTTGCCTCAGTTTCCTCTTCTGTAAAACAGGGATAGTAATAGCACCTACCTCACAAGAGATTTGTGAAGAAAAAATGAGATGATTGTTGTAAAGCACTTTGCAAACCTTAAAAGAATCACACTATATAAATGCTAGCTATCATTATTAAGAAAGATTTGGAATATTACTATAAGTACTGTAAGAAATGATGAACAAGTGGATTTTAGGGAGCAACTAGGTGGCGCAGTGGATAGAGCACTGGCCTTGGATTCAGGAGGACCTGAGTTCAAATCCGGCCTCAGATACATAACACTTACTAGCTGTGGGACCCTGGGCAAGTCACTTAACCCCATTGCCTAGACCAAAAATAAATAAATAAATAAATTTAAAATTAAAATTAAAACAAATTGATTTTAGAAAAAACATGAGGGACAGCTAGGTGGTGCAATGGATAGTGCTCCAGCCTTGGAGTCAGGAGGACCTGAGTTCAAATCTGGCTTCAGACACTTGACATTTACTAGCTGTGTGACGCTGGGCAAGTCACTTAACCCCAATTGCCTCACCAAAAAGCAAAAAAAAAGTTTGGAATATTCCTGTAAGTACTGTAAGAAATACTGTAAGAAACGAAGAACACGTTGATTTTGGAAAGACTTACATGAGATAATGAACAGTGAAATGAGCAGAATCAAGAGAACATTGTATGCAGTAAGAGCAATACTGTTTTAAGAATGACTTTGAGTGAATAAGTAATTCTGAGTATTATAAATACTCAAGTCAACCACAAAGGACCTATAAAGAAAGATGCTATCTACCTTCAGAGAAAGAACTGATAAACAGAAGTATGCATAGTATGGTTTTACACGTACACATACACACAGATATAGATATAGTTTTATATATATATATATATATATATATACACACACAGATATATGTATCTATCTATAAATATATATCTATACATCTATACATAGCTATACATATATGCATGTGCATACGTGTGTGTCCAATAGTGGCGTTCTCTAGTGAAAGATAGGGAGAGAGACAGTTCAGAACTTAAAATGTAACAAAAAATTAATTTAATTTATAAAAGAAAAAAAAAACATCATGAGGGGCTTAGTCTAAAGTCCTTGGACTCCATAAAAAGCTAATTTGTATTCTTTGAAGAGATTTTATCAGTTTCAGGAAGGAATCTTTATTTCCTGAAATTAGGAGACTTGGTCTTGTTTATCTCTATTAAAGAAGAGCAGAAATGTCTTTAATTATATTAGGAGAAATATCTCTTTGTTGACCTTTGACCATATTAAAAGGGGAGTAGCTAAAGGAATGATTGATTTTAGAAGTTATTTTTTCTAGGAGTGCACCAGCAGTAATATTCCTTTAGTCTTGTTTCAATGAATCAAAAACCCTTGCATTTAACCCTTGTACCTTTGGTTTATTTTGGTGTGGAGGTATCTTTTGTTTTAGTATGTCTGTAGAATGTGGGGCAGCTAGGTGGCACAGTGGATTGAGTGTCAGGCCTGGAGTCACGACTCATCTTCATGAGTTCAAATTTGACCTCAGAAACTTACTAGCTGGGTGACCCTGGGCAAGCCACTTAACCTTGTTTGCCTCAGTTCCTCACCTATAAAATGAGCTGGAGAAGGAAATGGCTGACTACTTCGGTATCTTTGCCAAAAAAACCCTGAATGGGGTCACAGAGAGTCAGACAAGACTGAAAAGCAACTGAACTGAATCTATAGAACGTAAATGGAAATTACCTGAGTGGAAGAGAATTTTGATCAGTACTAGGAACTTTGCCAGTTTGGACCTCTCTCATAGAAGGAATGCATGTCTAATAATAAATCGTCTCTGAGAGCTCTTGGCTAAGTTTTTCTTCTGTAAGTTCAACACCCTCATTTTACCGCTAAGAAAACAGGGTGGTTAGCAGGACTTGCCCAATGTCACACAGCAAGGCAGTGAGAGAGCAGGAAGCAGAACCGGAGTCTCCTGAGCAGCAGTCAATCTCTACCTTATACTGCTTTCTGAAATAGATGCAGATCTCTTGACCTATCAGTCTACTAATGGTATTTAAAAAGGAAATAAAGTTAATCTGGTACAATTTATTTTTATTTTTAGTAAGCCCATACTAATTCCTAGTGATCCATACTTACATTTCTATGTGTTCACAATTCGTCTGTGTAATAAGCTGTTCTAAAACAGCCTGAAGATTAATGTCAGTCTCACTGAGAGATCCTTTTTAGGCTCTGCTTTTTGAAAATGAAGACCTCCTCCTATCTCTAGCATTTCGGCATCTGTCTCAAAGATCACCAGGACATTTCCCCCACCTAAAGTTTCTTCAGTCATCTGGAATCTAATTCATCCACACCTAGAGACATGAATCATTTATTTTGGGCTTCAAATGCCTATTTAAATATATGTATATATATATATATATATATATATATATATATATATATATATACATATATATATATATTTCTATTGATGTAGCTTGTTTGTACATCACTTTATTTCTGAATATATCCTTTCCCTTCTTCTACTCAGAGAGTTGTCCATGCCTTGTAAGAAAGAATAATAAAGAAAAAGGAAAAGGAAAAAGTTTAGTAAAAGTAAGTAGCACATGGGTATGATGGAAATAGTGCCAGGTTTGGAGTCAAAGGACCTGGGTTTGACTTACTACCTGTGTGACACTGGTCAAGTTATTTTTTTTAAGCCCACAATTTTCCTTATTTATGAAATGAGAGGATCTAGCCCTCTCTAAAGTCCTTTCCAGTCCTAACTCTATGACCCCATGGTCAGCTGAATCTGACATGGTAGGTAGCTCCACACCTATAATCTCCCAGCTCTGCAAAGGAAAGAGAGGTTGTTGTTCAGCCATGACCCCATTTGAGGTTTTCTTGGCAAAAATGCTGGAGTGGTTGGCCATTTCCTTCTCCAGATCATTTTTAAGATGAGGAAACTGAGGCAAACAGGGTAAAGCGACTTGCCCAGGGTCACATACTACATGTCTGAGGCTGGATTTGAATTCAGGAAAATGAGCATTCCCAGGGGCAGCTAAGTGGTGCAGTGGATAGAGTGCTGGCCTTGGATTCAGGAAGACCTGAGTTCAAATCTGACCTCAGACACATAACACTTACTGTGTGACCGTGGGCAAGTCACTTAACCCCATTGCCTAGCCAAAAAGAAAAGAAAAAGAAAATGAGTGTTCCTAATTCCAGGTCCCATACTTTATAGAGAGATACATTTTCTTATCTTTAAAGCCAAGCCTATTCACCAAATACCTCTTTAACCTATGTTCTTCTATATTTTCCAGGATAAAGACTGGAGTAATACAGAGTGGGGAGAGAAGGAAGCTATATTACCTCTTAAAATACCATTTTTTCAACTTTTATTTAGTATTTTGTTCTTCCCCAGTTACATGTAAAAATAATTTTTAACATTTGTTTTTAAAACTTTGAGTGAAAAGAACTAGTCTTAAGAAAGATTTTACATTTGCCTAAATTTTACTGTTTTAAAGGAAAAGAAACCAAGTTAGATCTAGGAACCAGTCATCAGAGTTCCTTCCATTCTGCGTTTTATGATTCCTTATGCCCAAACACCCCATGTTAGCCATGCAGCCTCTAGCCAGACTTTACTCCTCTTACCCTACCTTGGTGGGGATAGAGAACAGCAAGGTACCCCCATTATTATAAACACCTTTTAGCATCTTGAAATCTTCCCCTTTAGCATCTTCTTGTTCAGCTGCCTCACAAGGTTCATTTTTCAGGCTTGTCTGTTTCTTCTCAGCTTTCTGGCCATAGAGAATCACAGAATGTTGGAGTTGGAACCTCATCCCTCAGGTCATCTAATACAACCACCCCACTAAACAGATGAGGAACTTGGGACCCAGAAATAATTTGAGCCAGTGAGGTGGGGTGAAAAAACATTAGGCAACCTTCACATCCTGGCCCCTGACTACCTTTCAAATCTCACTGCACATATATTCCCCCTTCTGTCCTCTGAGAACCAGTCAAACTAGCCCTCACCTGAAACGTACCTCCTCCTCACCTCTACCTCTTAGAATCTCTCTTCCTTCATACACACATCTCAGGAACCACCACCTACAGGAAGCTTTTTTTCTGATTTCTCCCTTCCTCTTCCCAAATTGCTAGTTCCCTCCCTCTCTAACTACCTTAAATTTAACTGGCTTGGCTTTATCTTGTATTTATTCTATATACTTATTCTATGTATATAATATTTATTCTATATACTAAAATACTTAAGTATTTATTCTATATACTGATGGGAATGTAAATCCCTTGAATAGGATTTGTTTCATTTTTTTTGTATTTGAATTCCCAGAACCTAACATGGTGTCTCACACATAATACCTAGGGCTGGAACTCCGAGCATTCTTTTAGAAGGGATAGTCCCCTTCGATTTCCTCTGAGTGGTGTAAATAGTCTAGAAATTGAAGGGTAAAGCAACTGGCCCAGCCCTCAGAAAAAAATTTCTTTCCTTGTTTTCAAAAGATCCCAGAACTGGCCCGAGCTCTCTCCTCAAAGCTGAGATGTGATCTCTCCTTCCCTTCTCACCCCGGCCAGACATCTTATCCCAGTGCCAGGGCTAGGCACTGACCACACTACTTTTCTGTTGTTTGATTTCTCTTTTTGTGGCACCAGAGATTTAGCTGTTGTTCGTGTCTGAAAGGTGGGACCCATTTTATTCAACCTTGGACTGCTCACAGACACTGGAGCCTCACAAAGGACCATGAAATGGAGACAGGGTTAGAACAGGTCACTGCATCTACTGTTTAACAGGTGAAGGAAATACCTTTGATCTACCTTTTCAAAACCTCCCTATCCACCCCTCCTCCTATCTCCACATCAGGGTTTTACCTGTGTTCAAATAAGACAAGATCATCTGTGGCATCGTTTTCATCTAGAAGAGGACTTTGATGGGTAGAAGTTCAAGACAGAGGAAGGGGTTGGTCTTGAGACAAGAGATATGTTAGTCCTGTTCTCAGCAAAGTCTGTATCTCAAGCCCAGAATGGGCCTTCCCCCACTGGAGGGCCCATGAGACAAACCCAGGACCCTTTACAGGAGTGACAGGCCTTCATTGCTATCACCCCTGGGGGCCATCAGATCCCCTGAGAGCTGCATTTCTTCAAGATTCCTCATGCTGGACTCACCACGGAGAAAATACTCTAGACTCTCTGTGTGGTTCTCAGAACTGGCAAGCTGCTGGAGACGAGGAAGCAGATCTAGGCCACCACCACTATCTCCTCTCACCAGATGGACACCCGCCCTCTCCAATTCCAACTCCCCTTTCCTCCCTTTCTTAACCCCCATCCAATTCACACACAATCCTTTCCAGTCGACCAAAAGCAATAGTACTTAACTGCTGTTTACCTCAGTTTCCTCATCTGTAAAATGAGGGTAATAATAGCACCTACCTCTCAGGGTTATGTTGAGAATCAATACTTAAAGCTCATGGCACACTGCCTGGCACATAGTAAGTACTATGTAAATGTTAGTTGTTGTTATTATTGTTATGGGGTAACCACACGGGCCTGCTCCCTAATCCTAAATTCCTGGCCCAAGTTCTCATTTCCTATCTTGTCATTCCTCATATGGTGACAGTCATTTCACTGTCTCTGCAGCCCTACACTTGTCTCTGCCTTGATCAGTTAAGTCACTCCACCCCACACATGGTTCTCATGCTCCCCACCTTCCACTGACATCTCCTAATTATCTGCTCCCTCCATTGTTTTTGGCTCAGGTGAAGCAGGCCTGGGGCAAACAGCACAAAAAAAGGACTCTTTATTTATTTTAAGGCAATTGGGGTTAAGTGACTTGCCCAGGGTCACACAGCTAGTAAGTGTCAAGTGTTTGGTCTGAGGCAGGATTTGAACTCAGGTCCTCCTGACTTCAGGGCCAGTGCCCTATCCACTAAAAAAAGGGTTTTTTAAGTGAACATTTTAGCATAAATTAGTTTGAGGTATGGATAGATAGAGGCTATCATCTGGGTAGACTCCAGACCATAAGAAAGGGCACGCACGCGCTCGTGCATGCATGCACACGTGTGTTGTGTGTGTGTGTGTGTGTGTGTGTGTGTGTGTGTGTGTGTGCCATGTACATACTCCAGAGCTCGTCTTAAATGCAGAGCAGAAGAGGCCAGGATGAAGGAGTCAGTAGGTGGTGACCCTCCTAGTTTAACAAATGATTCTTTTGGGGTAACTGGATGGCTCAGTGGCTACAGTATTAGACTGTCAAGAAGACCTGCATTCAAATCCTGCCTAAGATATTGACTAGTTGTATGACCCTGGGCATGTCACTTGACTTCTGCCTGCTTCAGTTTCCTCATCCGTAAAATGGGGATAATAATAGCATCTACCTCCCAGGATTGTTGTGAGAATACACACACACACACACACACACACACACACACACACACACACACAGTGTTTATACACACACACATACATATTAATAGCTTAGAGCTAAACTAAGACTTTTGGGAATCCCTGCATTTACATACCTGTATAAATGTCTCCACATATCTTTGCATATTTTTTCTTACCTTTCTTTGTCTGTTCCTGTTCCTAATCTCTTCACTTCATCCTCTCTTCCCTTTTCTATCATTCTTTCCTGTCATCATTTCCTCACTGCATTCCCTCTTCTTTTTCCCTATTCTCAAAACTCAGTTCCTTTTACTTCCTTGTCCCTTGTCCCTTCTTATCACCTCCTCCCTCTTTTTCTCCTTTATTTTCAGACCTATTACTATACCCTCCGAGTCTGTCTCAATTCCAGGCATTTCCAAGCTAGAAGACAAAATATTTAGGCTCTGTCCTTAGGGTAGGACGTCCCATCTTGGCTTTAATATCTTCCTATTCCCTACTAGGAGATAGGATTTAAAAACATTTTTCATAAGAAAGTGGAGTTGGAATCCAAATATGCTATCTACTAGCCAGTCTTCTAGTGCCCAAGGTAGGATTAGAACAGATGGGTCAAAGCAGTGGCTAATGAAGGAATGAGGTGTGACAGGTTTAGGGAGATTAGTAGGGTGAGAGTCAGGGTCAAAAAAGTCTTGGGGCTAAAGTGGAGTAGGAACGCATTTGGGCAATGGGGTGAGGGAGTCTGGATTCCCAGAAAGGCGTGACAAGATGAAGACAATGGATAGAGACAAAGAAGCACTATAGCATCAATAATGCATGTCATCTTCATGCTTTATTCTGCGCCACCTCCCTCCCGACTGGACCCTGGGGAGCAGAGGCAATGATCTTCCATGCTATAACCGGGAAACATGAGGCATAGATAGGGAAGACTCTTGGTCCAGAGTTGCAGGGTCAAGATTCAAGTTCTGACATCCACAGACCATATAGCTTTGATCTAATTCCTGGAAAATGATTGCCGTATAGAGTAACTACCAGAAACCTTTAGATAATAGTGATTCTGGCTGAGATCCCAGGGGTCCTGGGGGTGGGGTGGGAGATCAGTGTCTCCAAGAGAGTCGAAGGAGAAGAACTTAGGTCATGTTTCCCATCTCCCTGCTTCCAGGAAGGGCTATAGCTGACCTGGTTCAGAAGAAAAAGGAGAATGAAGTGGACATGGGCCAAGATCACAGAACTGTGGAATGTTTGATCTAGAAAGGAGCTCAGAGATGGTTCATTGAGTCCAGCCTCCCACTTTTACATATGAGGAAATGGAGGCCATAAGGAAATCTAAAGTCTGGGAAGCCCATTGTGAAATAACACATATCCCAAAACAGCAGAACTAACTAGAACAGGGCGTATACTAATCACGACCACTACCATTAACCATCACAAAAGAGGAAAAGTGAATGAGAATTCAGGGACAAAGATTCCTGATGGAGACTTGGAGAGTGAGACTGGAAAGTGGTTATAACTTTGTATGCATTGAAATGGATTTAAATATAAATGGTTGTAAAGCAAGGTTAATTAGTTATGTTGCACTTAATATGGTTTAAAATCTTTTTTTTTCAAAAGAGAAAAATGAAAATGAAGAAGTTCCATTTTAAAGTCTCATTTTTCTTCCTATAGTAACATTTTCCATTCTTTAGAGATAAGGGATGGAGACCAGAACTGTGATTTCATTAGCACATACAGGATGCTTGCTGGTGGGGCAGCTCCCTCCATCAACAGCAGGTCCACACTTTCTTTGCAACTTCTAGCCATAGGGAATTGTCTGAGGGTGCTCAGAGGTCAAATGACTAGCCCAGGGTCATATGTCATGGCAAGACTTGAGTCTGGGTCTGATTGGGCACTTCAGATATAAACATGCATAAGTTTTGGATTATTTAGGACAGGACAAACTCATAGGTATAGAGTAGTCCAATGCCCTCATTTCACAGATTAGTGAGTAAGATGCAGAGTGAAGATACAAATCTGTGTCTTCAGCCCACTGAAAGAGGCTTTAAGAAGAGAAGAACAGAAGACAGAGGATGAGAGAGTGCAATTTAAGACATAAGGGACAGCTTGTGCTATGTAAAAGCCTATGCTATTAAATGTTTAACAACTGACTCTCCAAAAAAAAGTATTTGTTAACACACTTTTAAGTTTAATACACATAATTAACATTTTAACTCACTTTAGACAATTCAACAAAACAACAAATCAAGCCTTTGCTGCTCTGATTTGCCAGGCCTAAATGCTCATATTGATACATGCTTCTCCTTAATTGATTTAATTATCTGTTTGAGGGTAGGAACAAGTTGGCTCCAGAACAATCGTCAAGATTCCTTTTTTTGGGACCCTCTTGGCAGTCTGGTGAAGCCCATGGACCCCTTCTCAGAATGTTTTTAAATAATTGAAGGAAATGCTAAATTTCAGTTAAAAGTTAGTGAAAATATACTAGCTGTATGACCTTGGGCAAGTCATTTAACCCCATTGCCTAGCCAAAAAAAATGTTAGTGAAAATAAAGATATAATTTTTTCTCACCTAAATTCATAGCCCCCCCCCAAATCTATTCTATTTCTGGCTAATCTGGATAAAGGATAATGAGATGTAGTCTCATTAGCATGCCATGTCTTCGAAGAGCATTTCCTCAGCTCACCTCACCTTGATCAACTGCTCTCAAAATATCTACCAGTAAAAATGAATCGTTTTGGCCTCATGTTAGCCAGCGTCCACAAAAATATTCCATTGCGAAGCTTCGCTTTTCTCAGAATATTTCCACATTTCCTGTTCTGAGATATTTTCTTTTAGGGAAAGATGCCTCTGTAGCGTACTGGGTGGCCAGAGACTGAATGTCACACAGTAATCTGAAGGTTGGATGTCTTGGTTAAATGCATTGCTACTCCTTCTTACTTAGAGGCTTAGCAGACCTTTGCATAAAGTCAACTTTAAGCTTTAAAAGATGTGGTTTTGTGCTCACTGTGGATGCTTTCAGCTAGGAAAGGAATTATGAGTCAGGAGAATTAATTATACCAGAGGTGTTCAAAATAGAATTAGGTGATGTACATTAGAATTTGGGGTAAGGCAGGTTAATCTTGTACTCCCTTTGAGGAAGCTTAGTTAAGGAGATACCATTTTTGTACAATTTCACAGAGCCTAACACAGTATCTTGTACATAGCAGATCCTCAAAAAGTGTTTGTTGATTTCCCTGTCCTCTAGACCATACTCTCTGTTCCGAGAACTCTCCATTGACCCTGTTTTCAGACTAAGAATCAAGTGTTCAGAAATCAAAGCTTTGCTCTTTCAGAAGTTTAGGAATTTTCTCCTCAGTTTAATCTTGGAATAAATGACCATAGCCCGTGGCCAGCAAAGAAGTCTGGATCTACTGTTGTTAATGACAGCACCCATCTATATTCCAACGAAAGAGAGAGAGAGAGAGAGAACAGAGACGAAAGACAGACAGAGAAAGGAGAAAGAAAAAGAGGAGAAAGAGAAATAGAAGAGGAGAAAGAGGAAAGAGAAACAGAAGAGAAAGAAAAAGAGAGAAGAGAGAGAGAGAGAGAGAGAGAGAGAGAGAGAGAGAGAGAGAGAGAGAGAGAGAGAGAGAGAGAACAGAGACGAAAGACAGACAGAGAAAGGAGAAAGAAAAAGAGGAGAAAGAGAAATAGAAGAGGAAAGAGAAACAGAAGAGAAAGAAAAAGAGAGAAGGGAGGGGAGAGAGAGAGAGAGAGAGAGAGAGAGAGAGAGAGAGAGAGAGAGAGAGAGAGAGAGAGAGAGAGAGAGAAGCTAAGAGATTGTTAGAT